GTCAGGTAGCAGCTTTCATCTGTTCTTGACAAGATGCTAAGCCAGCGTGGCTGAGCTGCAGCTGGTGACGGTCTGATCTCTCTGCAGACACGCAGTGTTGTGTGCAAATACGGTGCAAGCTAGTAACAGCTGAGTACATTTCTCATCTGCATTTCCTGACAGTAAACAGAAGTGACTTATTGAGCCAATTAGAGTGGGATGCAGTAATTCAGCGTGACTGAATGCCACATTGTGGAGATCACTTGCTAATGACACAGAGGAAGGATAAGGAAAAGGAAGCATCTGAGGAGTATTTCCCCCAAAGTGAAAAAACTGTCCCCCTCCCCTCATGAGTAACCTAAGGCCAGCTGTTTTGGCTGTGCTTCCAAGTCTCTATACATTGACCCTCCTCTCCCTCTTTACCAGCAAAGGCACAAGGAAGGAGAAGCACCTTCACATGCTCAGTGGTTTACAGGAAATGTGGGTTCCAGTTCCTTGTTCTCTCTCTTTTCTGTAAGGCTCTTGAAAAAATACATGTCCTCTCGCAGGGCTGCCTGCTAAACAGGAGGAAGGCAAAGGGTGATTGCTGTCTCCCTCCGTTCCTCCTTTCCCTGTATTCTTTAGGATTACCAAAGTGTGTTACTGTCCATGATCCCAGCATAGTCTGGACATTTCACCTTAAGAGCAGTGACTGAAGAAGAGATGGAGAGGCCAGTGGTCAGGGCTCATCTTTCAGACAAGTGCTCTAATCATTAGGCACCTTGTCAGGCTTGTCCTGGCTCTTCAACGCTTGTATTTTTGACTGCCCAAGGGCTCATAGTGCATACATCTGACTTGGATGCACTCCTGAAGCCTGAAAGCTCTGGGGTTACAACTTGTAGGGTGATGAAGAGATTGAATTTGTGTCCCTCTCCCTACTGCTTCCTGCAGGAATGGGTCTCACATAAATGGCCATCCCGTCTCCACATGCATGTAGGGCTGAAATCCTTGCACTGGGGTGTGCTTGAGGGCGCCTTGTGGAGGGTGGTCAGGCCAGCCCAAGTCCTGCTGGAGGGAGGTGGGGAGCTTTTTGTGCAGGGGCCACTTGAAGGAAGAAACTGAATTCTGGGGCATGGGTCAGGCAGAGGCACTGGTGAGGCTCAGCATCAGCTCAGCAAGGTTTTGTGGGTCACTGTTTTGGACTTGGGTACTTGCACACTCTCTAAGTCAGGTTACAGGCACATCAGTGTGAATCACAGCTTTTGTCTTCCTTTGAGAGGTGGTGTTCTTCCTTCTGCATGTGGAGATGAGCAAGTATAACAGCAAGCTCCTTGAAAACCATGAAGAGAGAAATCCAAATCAAGGGAGACCCGAAAGATACATGTTGGTTGCTTGAAAACATCATGGCTGTCAAAACTGGCCTTCTGCAGCCTGTGGGCCTGACTCATACCTGCCTGCTAATGCCATGGGTGAAACAGAAGGCCACTGGGCCGAGAATTAGTGAGGAAGGAGCACAAGGGCCATATCCAGTGATGAAAATTGAAAGGAGGATTAAAAAGAAAGCTCTAAATATCTCCCTGAGACTAGTTCAGACAGGAGTAATTTCACCGGCTCCAGGGAACACTGCTATATGTCCATGTCAGTGGGGAGCCTTCGGCTGTGGCACTGGCCAAGTGGCATCCACAGCAGCCAGGAAGGCTGACCAGGATGCAATCTGTTTGACTCCATGTCTGGAGGCCAGGAAGGACACAGGCTTCCTTGTGTTGTGCTTCATGTTTTCAGCTTTATACAAACCACCTCTTCAGCAGACTTCAGGAGAAGTAGATGCACGCTTTCCAGATTCTCTTCTGCTCGTGGTTACCTCCCCGCTGTGGTGTGATGGGGAAGGAACAGGGAGGTTCCAGGGATACGTGATTGATGGGTGTTTGTTGTAAGCGTTCCTCTGCTGTGAAATGTCTCTGTCCTCCAGTTATTTCTGATTTCTCCTTGCAGATAGCTCAGCTGAGCACACAGTTAATTTGGGACTGCGAATACAGTACACGCACTGTCCGGGAGCAGCTGATAACGTACTCATGCTGGGTTAAGGTTTTCCAGAAAAGAGATAACATTTGCAGATGGTTTGGGCTGACTCCTTTGGCTTAAGCTTTTTTATTGATAGATGAAAGCAGTACACACAACCAAGCTATGGAAAGCTTTAAAAAGTGTCCTCCCTTACCCTGCTTTTCTAACAGTTCCTGTGCTGATAGTTTCTCTCCTTGTCTCTTTCGAGACTACAGTAGACACTGCTCCTGTTCTTCAGCCTTCCTTGTATCTTTTCTGCATGGAGGAGCTCTGTGCCCTCTATCATCCTCTTCTCAGCATACCCCACAGAGATCAAGACAGCCCTTCCAGACACAGGTTTTCAATCTTTTTTTTCCTCCCACATAGCTCTCTTTTCCAGTGGATTCACTTTGCCAGGTAATGATTTCCAAATAATCCATTCTAAATTTCCAATATTTAACATCAGATTTTCTAGTCTTGGAAACACTAGGTCATTGCCAACCCAAAGTTTAGGGATTGATTGCACAAGCAGACTAGTGAGCCATTCTGAAGGGACAATAACTCTTATGAGCCAAGCAGTAGTGAGCAGTTGGCAGATGATGAGGAGCAACAGGATGATCCTTCCACTTGCACTGCCATAACCAGAAGAGACCGGGAGTGGAGGAGAATCACCTACTTACGGACCATCTGCATAGCACACATCTGCAGCTGAGATGCTCAGCCTGGTCTTCCTTTCTGGTCAAGGATCCACTTTAGCCATGGATTAAGGGTGTGATTTATCTTACCCAGAAGTTTTTTTTCTAAATGGGACAAAACATTTGTGTTCAAAAAGCTTTTTTTTTCCTGTTGACTATAAAAGGAGTCTAACCAAACTTTAGACTTTTTGACTGAACTGAATCCCTCCAAGCATGATATTAAGGGGGTAGGATATGTAGTTCTACTTAAGGCACAATCACTGTCCTTTGGCCAATGTCCTAGTTAACGGGCAAAATCACCAGCAAGGCTCCCCACTAGCAGCCCAGCTGCAAGGGAATTGCAGCCCTTTTCTTTCAAGGGTGGTTTTAGTACTCAAACCCACAAACTTTCACTCTACGATAAATTGGCCAGATAACGTAATTCCACTGCAGCCCAACCCAGCCTTCTTCTCCCTTCCAACTGATCAACTATTGGCCTTTATGAAGTGATAATAAAAGACCACACAAAGATAATTGCTCATAATTGTCAGGGAGGAGCTTTGCCAGCTCCAGGAAGGTCCTCACAGTATGTACTTGTATAGGAACCAAACCAGCAAAGTGCTGTGGAAGATGTTTGATCAGCCCAGCATGTGGTGAGAATTTAAAGCAAATGTCAAGTGTTAGTTTTGGAAAGTCACTGATTTTTGAAGACTGAAGTTTTGAGGGTTTTTTTTTTTCTTTCCCAGCAGCTGAGTATCTTCATGACTGCCCTGGGAAATAAGGAACGTTTTCAAATGGAGCATCTGATGAATTTTGGATGATCCCAGGGCAGCCATGCTAAAAACATGCAGGGTGGATGCTGAGTTTTTTCTGCAGTGTTGACTTTGAATGAACCGGACACTTTAATGGTGAAATTGCACCAATTTAAATGAAAGAGTGGATAAAATGGATGTTTAAAGGCAAGTTTCTCCTATTCAGCTAAACAGTGGGGATATTTTACACTCATGTATTGCTTTTCAGCAAAGCTCGTTCAAGATAAGCCCAAATAAAATTGATGTCACACATCTATGACACAGGAAGTCATTTTAACCTGTAATTTACAATTTGAAGTAAGAAGTTAAGCCATTTTTTTCTTTCAAATTCCTGTGATTATATCTATTTTTTGGCATGCTTGTTGTAGAAGATGGCTGAATTTCTCTCAAGTGTGTTGCCTTTTCTATGTGTGCCCTGAGATAGTATTGGTAGATGTCTGCAAAATATTAACTGGTCTGTCTCCCACTCAAGAAAATGCTATTAGATTTTCTCAGTTATGGACTCCAACACTGTTTACGAACATTTTTGCCATTTATTGTGTGTAGGTGCCATCCCTACTTCGCTGTTAAGTTTCTCAGCAGTCAAAGGTGATTAAATAATTTCTGCCCTCTCCTCTCAGTCCTTTGTAGATGTATTAAGTGACCTATGAAAGACAAAAAGAGGCTGTGCGTGCTGCTGGGAGCTTGCCTGGTTTCAGCACAGTTTGAAGGCACCTCCATGCTCTCAGGGGCAGCGTAGGGATGTCTCAGTTACTTACATTTGTTTAATAACCCAGTCACTTGAATGTGTGTGCATTGTGAAAACTTGGTGTGATTTCAGGGCTCATTTCCACGAGCTGAGAGGCAGAGATGGAAATGGGGAAGGATGGTCTTGAAAGCAGTGGCTTATTTTCTTACAGCAAAGAGGATCAAGTCTACTCTTTACTGGGGTGAGGATAGAGTATGGGTGACACCAAACTGCTTTGAAACTTTGGTCTTTACCTCCCTAATTTACAGTAGTGTGACTGAGAAGAATATGAGGGATTTTATATTTTACTTTCTCACTATTTTGCAAACTAAAGAAAGACTGTTTTGGTCCCTGCCCTCCTCTTACTGATGTCACCTCTCATTTTCATGTGAGGTGATGTTCACAGGGAGGCACAACTCCACTCTCCTCGTTCTCAGATGGGGGCAGAGATCAAATCAGGGATGCTCCAAGGACTGGAACCAGGCTCTTGGCAGTGACTGATATCTCATAAACATCATATCACAGTATGGCATCTAGTGCATATTCTGCTTCTTAGTTAAATATTGAACGTGGCTAAAGAGGTTTTTAAAAAAAAAATATCTTGCTCTTTCTGCACCTTTTGATTTGAGCTTTCTTTAGTATCAAAGTTTGGGGAAGGGGGGGAAAGGAAGGGAATCCTCCAGAGGTTGCAGGAAAAGGAGAAAGAGTAATTTCTTAATATCCCTAACAAGGTAGAGAGATAAGGCTGACTGAACTCCTGCTGACAGCAGCTCTGCTTTCTTTTCACAGTCTCCATTGAAGATATTCGGGATGTGAGGTCAGGCCATAAAACAGAAGGTATGGAAAAATACGCCAAGGATGTCCCAGAGTATCGCTGCTTTTCCATCATTTTCAAAGACCAGCGGAAAAATCTGGACCTCATTGCGAGTTCAGAGGATGATGCCAACCACTGGATCTCCGGCCTTGGGAAAATCATAGCCCACAGCAACTCCATGAACCAGAAACAGAAACTCCAACAGTATCCTTTTCCTTATAAAGTGATTAATCACACACAAAGATGCACTTGTCTTTCTCTGTGGGTGGAGATGGTAGACTAACCCCATTTTTTTCCTATTGGCCCTGGGCACTGAGTTTTCTGTTGCACTGATTTTGCACCAGGGCAAACTCCCTGGTTTCCAATGCTTTTTTCCCCTGTTTTACAGTAATACAAGCAAGAGCAGATTCAGGCTTCACATAGCTCCTTAAGCAAAGAATTGCTTCTTTCAGGGAGCTCCAGATAAAACAATCATTATTTTTTTGTATTCTTCAGGGGTCTGTTTCACTTGCATTGCAGTAAACTCCAGGACAGGCACTTCTTGGCAAGGCATGAAAAGCCCGTACTGTTTGTCATGTTTCTCAGTAATACAAGGCGAGGGAACTGATTCTCCTCTTCTGACTGCCAAATTTACTCTGGGGTAGCTCCACTGACTCCTTATTTGCCTCAGCATGGGAGGAAGTTTAGCCCTGAAAGCATTTGCAATTGCTCTAGTGACAATGCAGACACTGGAAAGGAAAAGCAGCAGGGAAGGAAAGGAGAGTGAATTAGTTTTGAAATGGAGAGTTAGTTATTGGGTGAAATCCTGGCTCTGCTGAATTCACAGGGAATTTTCCTGGGGGCTGCATTTCACTCAGTAAGTTGCTTTGCAACCACAGGTCTCACATCCATAAAAAAACAGAGGGTATCTGTGGGTGCAGTTTTTGATGGATTTTCTGCAGTCCCTGTGTGTCTGCGGCCCTGACTGTGACATATGAACCTGATTTGATGCAGCTGCAGCAGTCATAAAATATTAAGTTCCTTTAAGCTTCCCAAAGATAGGCATCCAGCTATCAGAGAGGAAACCAGATAGTGCTGTCAGTAAGAGAAGACTGCGTGAGCTTCATGCCTTGTTCAACATCAAAGCATCTGTGGAGAGGAGTGGAGATGCAAAATCCTCAGCTGGGCAAAATCACAGAGCTGGAGTCTGAGCCTGAGCAGGCACCAGGGAGTCTTGCCCTCAGTCAGGGTTTCACTCCATGTAGGTTCCCTGCTGAGTAATAATGTACCAATGATGAAGGAGATGGCACATAATTGCTGAGCTTTCATCAGGCTTTACTCTTCTGTGGATTCTCTGAAGTCTAATAAGCACTTGCACAACCGTAGTGCTGTTCGTTTAAAGGAATCAGACTCCGGTAGTTCTGATGTGCATAGGATGCTGTGTTTATCTGCTGCACTATGAATGTCTTTTTGGATGGTTCTTTAAGCTCTAGGCTGTACGGTCATTCTTCAGTAGTGTTATCAGTAATGTGTCCATGGTGGTAGGGAGCAGTCCCTAGACAAGTTGACATCTTGAAACTTTGGTGCTGTTGAAATGTTGCACCCTGGCAGTTTTCCTTCTGAATGTGAAGGCTTCCCCCACCCCACAGTGTGTGGGGAAAATCTAGGCTACAGAAAGTCGTCCCTCGAGTGTGTCAAATTGAATACATTGCTGAAAAACTTCCCCATAAGAAGAGACAAGAAGGAGGGGAAAATAACAATGACATTTGCAAGGGAAGAAGGCTGTAAATTTCCAGCATGGAAAAGTGTGTCTCTGTCTTTGGAAAGCAGAATCGAAACTAAATAGGGTGGGTAGGCAAGCCGTATTTCTGGAAGAGTAATTACTGTGCAGTGCTGGCTTCCAATCTGGGATTGTCTCAGGCCGTTTAACGTAACCTGGAATTACAGAACAGCATGATTTCTCATTTGAAATTTGATGATGTTTAATTAAAGCCTGGGATTTTAAATTTAGTCTGTCTTCAGTGGGTTTGCTTGGCAGCATGGGATTACTCAGATCTTCCTTAAACCTCAGAAATGTTCTCTGCATCTGTGAGCACAGAAGGGAAAGAAAGAGGGCAAGTGTTGGGTCCCCTGCCTGTCCCCCATGACTGGAGAATTGCCTTGCAGTGTATCTTTTCCAACCTCCAAAACCTTGCAAAGCAAGTAAGGAATGAGTAAGATTTTGAAAACAAGTATTGAAAGCAAAAACCTTGCTAGTTTCAGATGGGGTTTGTTCAATTTATAAGATGATGGAGTTGCCTGCGGTAGCAAGGGACTTGAATTAGTGTCTTATGTGTCCTTTCCAGTCCTATATTCTTACAAAGATAAAACCCCCACATGCTTTCTGAGTACTTCTGATGTTCTTATATATACAGTACTGTTTTATTAAGCCTCAGATTCAGCTCTGCAGCAAGCTGGCATAGGTTATTTAGCAAATATTGCAGGTATGTGTACAGGGAAGACTTCAGACAGAAAATACAGGGGACTTTTCATTTGAGTAGCGTGGCACAGTCTGCTTCGATTCTGGGATTTATGTATGAGCTTTTCTTCTGGTTGGAAATCACTTACCAGAAGTTTTGCAGCATTTCTGTTCTGAGTACGTTCATGGGGTATTTGCCAGATAGTTCCAGTCAAACTCTTGAGTTTCTAATAGAAAGCTGGTAGCCCTGGAGCTGGCAGATCCTTTAAAAACAAGAGGCAGGAAGCAGGCTTTCTCTGGATGTATACAAGAATGGGAACAGCTTTTTCCTAGTCCACCTAGGCTCAAATAGGTGTATAAAGTGAAAGGAAGACCCCAACCAGGGCTGAAAAATGGTATTTATATCAGATGAATTTCAGTTGAAGTGCTTAGTTCATCCAGCTCCTCTAAGCTCTCTCAAACCTGGGGGTGGCCAGATGCATGGGGAGTTTGGGTGTTTTGGGGACTGAACACTGCTGAAATGACCGATGGGAGCCCCGGTTGTCTGTAGTCTCTTTTTTCTCTCTTTGCTGCTTGTCCTTGCAGCAAGACCCGCTGTGGGCCTATGCTCTTCATCGGCTCTGATTTCTCTCTTACATTGCTCAGCCTCCCTGGGAGGGATATAACAGCAAAGCATCCGCCATTGGGAGGCAGGACCTGGGCATACTGTTTTCCAGATACATTTACTGCCCACATATTGCCTCCCAGAGTTGACTTTGGATATGCCCATAACCTCTGGGTGCTCATGATCAGTGGAAATGACTGCAGACTTTTTAAAAAAGGGTGTTTTTTTCCAGCGGTTAGAGCAAAAAGAGTAGTGTCTACACGCAATGTTATCCAACCCTGCTGCTCACCTCTGGCTGTGACAGATGGAACATCCTCACTAGACTTGCACGTTACTCCTGCCCGTTATTTTCAGGGAAGGCTGTGAAGGGGACCCAAGGTGCAGAGATCAGGTACAAATGGGTGGCACTGCCGTTGGCACCATGTTGACATGCTGAGCAGACAGTCTTTGGAGGACAGCTGGTGGAGGGGGTGTTCTCCACTCTGGGGTGGATGGTGGTGTCCTCCCAGCAGAGCACCCTTCGCACATGGGAGCTTCATGAATAGAACCTGGTTTTCTGGGAAGAACTAGTCCAAGTCAGACCCTGTTTCAGGGCCCTGGATTGTCCTTGGGAGCTGGGGAAATGTAGCCTCTCTTTATTTTGGCTTCTGTATCTAAAGAAGGGGAGTATTAATATTACCAGGCTGACTGATGTGGTGTGAGGTCATTGTTTAGCACCTGCCAAGATTTTTAAAGGCAGAAAGTTCAACTTTCCATGAGACAAACAATACTTACAAACAGTTTACACGTATCTCCATAGTTCAGAAATATTTGAATGCAGTGGTAGCTGTGGTGAATACACTGTTTCAGGGTTATGTGTACAGCCCCTAAGGCTGTCAGTTAATGCCCTTTTTCAGGGTTATTTTGAAGGGCCCAGTTAAAATGTTATGGTACCATATGCCTCAGCTGGTATTTGCTAATCCTGAGGTTTACTCTACTTAATATCTAGATTGGGCACTTTTTAAAGATTTTTTTAGAATTAATTTGAAGCAATGCTTCCTATGCAAGACATGGAAGGTTACATTTGTGGAGATCAAATTGTTACTTTGATCATTTTTCTATTGAAAAATAGATTTTTCTGGATGACCTTTCTTATTTGACAGTAAAACAAACCAGAGGGAGTCAGTTCCATGATGCAAAAAGCATGGGTTAAGACTGCAAGGTATCTCAACTGTCTCACATTATTTTCCCAAGACACCGAAAGAACATGGGAGACCCAGTTCAGACTAACTGGCATCACATTAAGCAGCTTATTTTTTATAGTAATTACTTCAGATCCATAGATATACTAAAGTTATTACAAGCCAAGCTCTGACGAACTATTATCACACTATGATACAGTAACAGATCCTGTGTATTTCACAAAGGGAAGCCAAGACCCACAAAGTTTTATTTGATTTTGCTCACAACAAAGTTCTTAAGACATGTAGGTAGAATCCCTAAATAAATATGGAAGCTGAAGGTGACTCAAAAACTTAGTATTAATGCTTATTTTGGAGAGTCTCTGTTCAGTGTTCACCTTGATATACTGAATATTGATCAAATCTGTAACAATGGATTTACCAAGCTCCACTTGGGAGCTCTTTTCGTCCTTCCTCTATCCCCTTTTAACAGTCTGGAGCAGAATGCTCTTTCTGTCATAAAAGAGAAATCAGACTGTTTTGTGATGTGGCTGTGGCCAGAAACTCCTACAGGGTAAAGAGAGCTGATCCAGCCTTGGACAGATGGTGAAAAGCTTCTCCTGGGTCATGATCACTTGTATTACAGTGCATTTTGCTTCTGCCAAAGCACCATTTTGCTTTTTCAGACGAGAAGGTGAAGTGATGTAAGCTGTTTCAGTGGTAGCATGCTGATTTACAGCAGCTGGGGAGATGGTTCAGAGTCTTTAAAAGAGATTTCCCCCCTGCCATGGGCAGCAGAAGGATGGTATTTAGGCTAGGCACTGACCTGGAAGGATTTCCTTACATCATCCTGCAGCTGGATTCATACCTGCCTACGGAAAGCTGATAAAAACAAAGACAACAAGATGAGCTTGAAAGAGCTCAAGAACTTCCTGAAAGAAGTGAACATTGAAGTCGATGACTATCATGCCAAGGAGATTTTCCAGGTAATGAGAGCAAGCAGATAAAGTATTTGCTGTTGGCTGAGATCAAGGTCTCCCTCAGCTTTCAGCTTTGGTTGGAGACTTAAGCTAAAGTGAACTCCTAGCATCTTTCCCTTACCAAGGAAGGATTTTTGGTTTTTCGTGCTCAGTGGATTCTCAGCAGATGCAAGAAAGAAGGAAAAGCAAAGTTCAAGTGCACTTTGAGCCCCAGGTGTTTCAGGAGTTCTGCGTAGCACAACCACATGTCAATGCCTAAGTCTGGCTAAAATTGGTTTGGTTACAATTATGAACCCAGATCCTCACCTTCTCAAAGGAGGAGGGTGCCAAATGACAGGTGTGAACAAAAAGAAAGTGCAAATTAGGAAAAAACCCACCAGATTCATGTTAGATACATAACATTGCACCCAAACCTGGACCAGTCTGGTTGATTTAATAGCCCAAGGCATGCTTAATCTGCTCAGGGGCATACACTTCTAAATTCTCAAGATTTGGACTGCTGGCCGAGCCCATCAGAAGATAAGAAAGGGATGAAAATTTCTCAGTTGTTAAGCTTTGCGTTTCTCTCTAAAGAAGCTTTCCTAGTATCTGGATAATTTCCAAACTCCCATCCTGTCTGCAGCAGGATTTGAATTCATGGGTGGGCAGTTTCAGAAAGGCTTTTTTTGATCAGTGGTAAACATGTGGGTGGTTTTGGGCACTGGGCAGTAATTCTCCTGCTCCTTCCTGTAAGCAGATAGCAGGGAAGGTTGGCAAGATCTCGTAGGACCTTCCCCCGCCAGAGGCACAAGTTTTCTAATCCTTGCTTTATGGACATCTCACTCTCTAATAACTCTGCAAGAATTGGGGTAAGGTCATCAGCAGATCTTAAAGAATTTCAGCTTGCAAAATCTTCCGGATGTACTGCCTGCTCTGGCTGGCATATTCCATGCTTTATTCCCTGCTCAGGAAGACCCTGGAAAAATAGAAATATGACTAGGGTTCCTTTGATTGAGTTAGATGTCTCCAGTGCAGACATCTACATTGAAAGTAGTCACCAACACTTACACTTTCTTTGCAGTCTGTGTAGGTCAAGCCAATAATGGAGACCGGGGTGCAATTCACCTCATCCTAAGGGATACATCTCACATATGTCAGATGAATCACTCACTACACCTTCAAACATCGAACATGTGAAAATAGACCCTTTTTTTTTTTAAGAGGCACAGTCTCCTCTTCGTTCAGTGAACCTCTTTTGCTATTTTAATAGTTACAAGAGATAGTTACAAGAGAGCTCTTGGAGTGGAAACTTGATGAAGTTCAATTCTCTTTTTGCTTAAGGACTCCAAGTAATTATTAAACCTTGATTCAACCCATCTAAATACAGGCAACTAGTTGAAGTACCCTCATTAGGCATGTAATTGTTATAAATTTCCTGTATAGCCACCGGAAAGAGATGCTCTTTGGAGGTTAATTCTAATCTCTTGTGGGCTGAATTGCCTCCAGGAAGAGTCTGTCTTGCTCCTAAAGCAATTACATTTTCAGTTTACATACTGCCTAAACTTAGATGGACTGAGAGACACTACAGCATATTAAAAGGGTGATCTTTTATGTCTTAGCGAGTTTTTCTTCATTTAGTCACAGGAAGGAAGGGTGATCAAGGACTCAAGAGGGCATGTTCTCGCATTATTCTTGCTTTTCATCACATAACTCTGTGTCCACGTCTAGGTTTTAGACACACCTGAGTAAGACATATGCAATGCAACCAGAAACTGTGCAAAGCTCCTCTAATTGCTCACTTCATTTCAACCTGAATATTCACTCTGGTGCATCAGAGAGCTTCTGACTTTTTCTAGCAAGCCAAGGTTTGTTCAGGACTCATGGTTCATGATCCATACAAGTGAGGTAAACCACAGTATTTTGGGTTGAGATTCTCTTTCTAATTTGAAGCTCTTGTACCTCAAGCAGAAGGAGCTCACTTTTATACCGTGCATCTGATCTGTCCTGGAATATGACTATGACATCGGTGCTATAGTCCTATTTTCATCACAACCTTTAATGGCCACTAATGAACAAACTTTGCAAGGCACATCACTTAAAATACCAGTTTTCTAGAAGCCATATGATGTCATTTTCTCTGTTGTGTCTTAAAGAAAAGAATGTCTGTCATTCATGGCATCCCTGTAGTCTCCACCAGTTGGTTTCCCTCTTTATATTCCTTTTTCAATTGCTAAGCATCATGCTCAACTTAGCTCGTGAGATCTGCCAAAGCCACAGCACAGGATCATAGACATGGAAGGCAGCAAGGAAAAAACAGTTCCTGGACTGATCAAACCTAATTTGAAGATGTCTGTAGTACTGAGCATTTCACAGGTTGTCCCATCCCTGAGATGAGCTCATAGCTTCCATCCAGCAAATTCTGAAGTCAGGACAAGTTGAACTTTTTGCTGTTGGTTCAGTTTGTGAAATGCTGTGCGTCATGATAATTTTGTTTGGTTTTATATGTGCACCATAAACAGATAGTGAAGGACTCCATAGGAGGATTTGCAGGGGATGAAAGTCCCTCATTATCATCTCGCTTGGGGCAATGCCAAAGCCACCATGGCCATCATCGAGATCATTATCAGAGTCAGGTTGAGATTAGTATGATGACTGGTTAAACTCAGACATGCATTTTGGTCATAAAACCTAGGACAATAGCTGTGTCATGAGAGATCAAAGACAGAAAGCGATTTAATTCCTCTGTTTTGACAAGTTGACATCTGTCAGCTAAGTCCTGGTAACTGATAGAAACTTGTCCATAGCAAGGGTGAAATGAAATGGGCCACACCTCCTCAGAGTGGCCTGGAGAACACTTTCCATTCCAAGTTCATGCCTAGAGAAGAGAGGTTTTTAGGCCAAAGATTAAGTAAGGCAAGCCATGTCCTGCAAGGGTTTTGGCACCCATACAAAAAATGAGATTTTTCAGACTTACCTGAAATGTAAGGTGTGCGATGAGGAGACCACTGTTAAGGGTCTATTTGCTTGCTTTAGATATTGAGAGAGAGGCAATCATCATAATAACAAGGAATTAACTAGAAATGGGTTGATTGCTGAAATTTGCAGGGAAAAACACTTGGAAGCCTTGTAACGCTCCCTGCCATAAGTGATTCCTCTGACATAGGCTCGTGCTTTCCCTTGCAGCTTGTTTTGCTCAGCTTGTATTATTTAATGCAGAGGTTTACATCCCAGAGATAACTGAAAAATAGTTGCTTACCTCTCCATGAAGAATTCTGCCAGGAGCAAACAACAACATTAATATCAGGATTTGCCACATGAAAACAGTAATTTCTGATGAAAAATTGAATCTGGGAATATTTTAAATAAACTGGAAGTATTTGTTGTTGGGAAAGCTGTTGTCCTTCATGAAGACACTAACCTGTATATCTTAAACTCCTAATCTTTCATGGACAGTCAAGTCCTTGACTGTGGTGCTCTGTCAGAGCTGTTATCTAGTGAGAAGTTCAAACCACAAAGGAACATGGGGGCATGAAGAATTTCAATTACAACTCCTTGAGAAGCTGATATCTGATTTGAAATTTTGTGGATATTTTTTTACTTGGGTGGGTTTTGGATGAGAATGGAAAATTTCCATGAAAAGAATGATTTTTTCATACCTAACCATGCACATGTTTAGCAGAATTTTTTTTAAGTTGGTTTTGATGCCATCTTTGCAACCAGCCCAACTACTAACCTTGACAGTCTCTTGAGGCCTGAGCTCAGACCCACTGAGGTTAAGGGGAAGGACCTTTTCACTTTACTTACTGGATTTTACGCCATGGTCTCTATCAGTAGTTTAAGATGCATTGAGTTATTTATTTCCTTATATTCCTCCACCTCTTGATATCAAGACTTACATTTCTCTTGAGCCTTAATTTGTACTTAGATTGTCTTGAGCTGTCCTTCTAACTTATGGTTTGCACAGTACACAGTGCAGTGGAGCTCAAGACCATGCCCAGTGCTTTTCAGCACACTGAAATAACATGAGTAAATATTAATAATTGTAACTGTTACATGACTGTTGGCCTTGTCAGTGAGAACCATTGTCGTTGACCAAGTGCTTCTCATTCACTGTTTCCAATTATTTTGTGTTCTGCGTTGTGTAGCCCTGGTGCAGATTACGGCTGGCATATGCCAGAAGGAAAGAAGGTTTTCACTCCTTCTCCCCTCTACGTTTACAGCACTGTGACAAGTCCAAAACAGAGGCTCTGGAGGATGATGAGATAGAGGAATTTTACAAGATACTGACAGAGAGGAAGGAAATAGACAAGATCTTCCAAAAGTACTCAGATGCAGAAGGGTTCATGTCCTGCCAGAACCTGGTGAGGTTCCTCTATGAGACACAGCAAGAAGAAGATGCTGTTGTTGCTGCCCCTGCCTTAATTCAGAGATATGAGCCCAATGAAAGAGGTAGGTTGGAAACCCTGGGTGGTTTGCTTCAAAATCTTGCTTTCTTGATGAACTATGAATTGCTTTGCTGATGCTTTCTTCTGCAGCCATGTGTGTCATTTTCTCCTCGCAGCTGCTTCTAAAACACCCGTCTTCTAGGGGAACATTAGCAGCTCTGGGAGACGAAGGCACAGGAGAGCCTGGGAAATATTTCTTTTCAATTGACTTGGGTACACCAAGCAGCTGGAGAAGGGTTGATAGAGAGTTGGCTAGAGGGTGATAAAGTTTCTGAGGGAAAGTCTCTCATGGCTTATTCAAATGTCAAGACCTTAGATGTCTTTGCAAAGTTAATAATGTAGCAATATTTCTGTTCTCCAGAAGGAGGAATGGAGGCAAATGTTTTTGAATGTGAGCACCATCGGATGCTGAGATCTCTGAGTAGAGGGCCAAGAAGGTGACAGCTGTTTAGGAGAGCAATCACAGAACTGTTACGTGAATTGCCAGTCTGGGGCACCTCGTAGGACATATTCAAGTAACAAACACAGGATCATAGCCAGTTTTTGCACTATCCTGATATACCTTCAGGAGAGGGACAATCCTTTGCAAATGTCAGGCTTGGGGATTAGACCGAGATCTAGCTCAGTCCTTCGAGATGGGGAGATCCCAATTTCTCCTCAAAGTTATGTTATTTTCCATTTACTATTTGTAAATAATGTATTCACTGGATAATCTAAACAGGATTTATCTGGCTCTGTTTAGACATCTGACAATTTCTCTGTGTTGGCATGAAGGAAGCTTGAAGTGCTCAAATGGAGATTTTTATTCTGTAGATCTCTACAGACAGGTGAGATAAGAGCTGTCTTTGACACTTGTAAGGTGTTATCAAGGACAGTAAGTGCCATAAAAAGCCATGATTGTGGAGGGGTTTTAAAAGCATTTTCAGGCAGATGAAGCTGTCATCATTGTCTGAACAGCATCAATATCTTTACTATCAGCTGAATACCTAGGGAGCATGTTCTGCCTTTGAGATCCTCTGGAGAACAGAATGCATCATGGTGAAGATGATGGCACAACCTGGTGGTGTCAGATTTTCAGTATAAGCTTTCTGTCTATTTGTCTGGCAGCCAAGAGGGGTAACGCCATGACCAAAGATGGTTTTCTGATGTACCTGCTGTCTGATGATGGGAATATATTCAACTCCTCTCACCGTAAAGTTTACCAGGACATGACTCAACCTCTCAGCCACTACTTGGTGTCATCCTCACACAATACCTATCTTATGGAAGACCAGCTCACAGGTCCAAGCAGCACAGAAGCCTATATCAGGTAATGTATGCGTGTGTGTTTATGTGTGTGCGAGGGGTTGACCTCTTTCTTATAAAAGACATAGAGTGCATCTATACTGCTAGATGCAAGAGGACCAAGAAGCAATCTCCCATCCTAAGACCAAGTAATGTAGACTGGCCCATGTTCACATCAGGGTGAGCTGTTTCTAAACCAGGTTGGCCATGTCCCCCTTTTCATAGCACTGTGACCTGGGTCTCTGCCGGGCCCCCTGTGGTGTCCATCTGACTGTAAGATGTATAATTACTACATTTGGGAGTAGTTTAAAATATCTGCAATCATGTGGAGACTAGATTACAGCCCTCTAGCATGGTGTTTTCAAAGCATGATGCAGAGAGGGTATGTTGCAGAATATGGCATGAGATAGTGCAAGGAGCTCACAAGGTGCAAAGATCTCTGGGATAGAGCTGGAGGACTGTGTAGGGACTGGAAGGAGCCAAAATGATGCATACCGTCATGATGTTTATGATCTGTACTGCCTTTTGGGACTAGCCCCTGGCATGGACTGTCCCTAGAACCGTGCTGGGGTTTATTTTGAAGAGACCTAGTTGGAATGGTCCAAAAAAGGATGTGGGATATGAGCTAAGGAAGTAGTGTGGGTGATCAGGAAACGTATGCCTGGTCCTTCTTTAGCAGCTCAGATGCTCCCACACCATGTCTGGACAGAACATTAGGTGTTGCCTAATGCTGCCTTTAATGACTGCTGTCTGATGTCTCATGGCAAGATGTTTGCAGTGGCCTTTACTAACATGCACAACCACCTTACGTTACTTCTACAACCTGTACTTTTATCAAGTGAGATAGTGCGTGCTTATAAGCACGCTAATGACTGCAATTCTGTCTTTGTTTATTACTTACCTGATTCTCAGGGAACAATGGCTGTCTAGAGTCACAAGCTCAGAAGAGTAGAGAGTGAAATCTGGCACAAGTTGCTTTTCAGTAGTTGTGTGAATTCCTCTTACAATATCTTAAAATTACAGAACTATGTTTTGGTTGTAAAAAAAAATATCCCGTGATTCTTATTGCAATGAATTAAAGGAGTTGTGTTATCTGAAATGTATAGGGAGTTACCATAAAAAAGACAAGATCACCTCCTAGACAGGTAAGTCTGTACAGGGGGAACCTCCATTTGAAAGTAAATTAAATACAGGTATGGATATGTAGAGGCAGGAGTTTCAAGTGGAAATTCAGTTTGTAGACTCAGTTTGGGAAACTGGCCCTCAGCAGTCTCCTCAGCTATGGTGGAGTTCCCACACGTCTCTCCCTGACAGCTCTGAGGATTCATTTCTTATGTCTTAGCAGATCTAGATGAAGAAGTCACATCATCCAGGCTTCATGACCTGGCTTCTAAGGCTGACTGTCTTACTGTCTTTCTTCCAATGCAACCACTCTTGATTTTCTCTTCTCTTCACCATCTTTGGGAAAAGACTTGGGGCACAGTCATGGGTGTCCTTTCTCATCTGGCACTCACTATGTCTTCTTATTTGGATAATTTTTACCTTGGACTTTCACCACCACCTTTTTCAGATCCCACTGTGCTTTCCTTGCTCAACCTTGAGCTCTCTTTGCTGACTCTGAGCTCTCCTGATCCCATCCTTTCTCCATCTGCTTTCCTGATTTTCCAAGCTCCTCTTTTCTCCCTTGTTCCCTAAACTTCTCATCAGCCTTCCCAGGCAATACCTGTGCCTGAAGCACCCTCATTTTGAGATGGAGCAGAAGGTTTAGAACCCAACCAGGTCCCTTCTTTGTTTCCAGAGCCCTCACCAAAGGCTGCCGCTGTGTGGAACTGGATTGCTGGGATGGCCCTAACTCGGAACCTGTCATTTATCATGGCTACACTCTCACCTCCAAGATCCTCTTCAGCGATGTCATTAAGGCCATCAAGAACTATGCTTTCAAAGTAAGGAGCAGGGACCCTCTAAGATTTCTCATATTTCACAAACCAAGACCGATAGTAGGTCTCTGCCCTCCCAGCAAAAAGCATAAACAATGAAGACTTCACCTTAGCATTTCTCATGGGTATGAGATGTGTCCTTCTATCTGGGCATCCATGTTCTGCTTTCTGCAGAGATCCATTCCTGGGAGTTGCTGAACAGTCAGACCACTATTTGAGGATGAGTTTGAATCTATACTAGCACAGTTGCATCCTGGACCCCACTGCAATTAAAAATAATGCCCAATATCTCGAGCATACCCAGTAGGAAACGCAAACGAGCCCATGATTGGTGTGGCTTTGATGTCTCAGGGTCCATTCCTAGTTTAGAGGAACCCATATACATGTGTTTTAGAGGGACTGATGCAAAGGACTGCTTCTATTCTGCTTTGAAAGGAATGAACAGGTTTGGAGTCTTCTATGGCAGTGCTGGGCCAGCAGTCTTTAAAAAACCTTGGGTCTGTCCAGACTCACTGGGCTTTCTGCTCTTTTCCTTCAGTGCACTTGAGAGCTAGTATCAAGTTTCCTTTGGGGCTATAAAGCAGTGACAATGACAATGCCTTCGGCACACAAAATTGACTATGGAGAGGGCAGAAGGAATGAGATCAGGCCTATGCATGAATGGAGGAAGGATTCATGTCACCTAAAGATTTGAGCAAACCCAATGATTTCAAAGCCTCCCTTCCCAGTCCTTTTTCTGAGGTAGGAAGGTGCTCTGATCCACAGTGCAAGTGGAGAATGGAGGCACAGGGAGCCTCATCAAAGTGCTCCAGCAAGTCTGTGGGAGGCATCCTGACCCAGCCTGGTGCCCTGTCATCACCTCTGGAAGGCATCAGCAAAGATCTGAGTAGCTACTGCACAGTTAAATTTGTCCATTTTTAACAAATGCTCATTTTAGCAGAACGCTAGACCCTACTGTTGGCACACTCATGTCCAGAGAAAACAGCACTGAGGTTTATATCAATTGCTATAGACTGGTAAAATTGCAAAAGTCACTGATGATGTACGTTGCTGTCTTGTTCTAGACCTCACCATACCCTGTCATCATCTCCCTGGAGAATCACTGCAGTGTCGATCAGCAGAAGGTCATGGCTCAGCACATGACAACGATCCTGCAGGACATGCTCTTGGTTGCCCCAGTCGATGGAAACAAATCCCAGTTCCCCTCCCCAGAGGTAAGCAATGCCGCTCTAGCACTTCCTGCCTTCTGAGGGTGGGACAAGAGAGAGGTCTGTCTTCTTGGTGGGTGCTGACTAGTGGACAATATGCCTGAGGACTGGTAGGAACTGCACTTGCTGAGGAACAGAGACTGTCTGTGGGCAGTGGTGGAATAAGAAATACGAGTACGTAAAAGTAGCCTGTGCACATCAAGCACAAAATGCCCTGTTGCTCCTTGTTTGTTATCTAAGGTCTCAGAGGAGACATCCCTACAGGACTTAGGACATTCCTGGTCCATTTCTGCTGTAAATACAAAACAGCAAAGGGGAAACAGCCTAGGAGGTTTCTGGAGTGTGTGGAAGATAACTTCCTGACACAGCTGGTGAGCGAGCCAACTAGGGCAGGTGCCCGCTGGACCTGCTGTTTGTGAACAGAGAAGGACTTGTGGGTGATGTGACAGTTGGAGGTTGTCTTGGGCACAGTGGTCAAGAGATGAGAGAGTTTTCGATTCTCAGAGAAATAAGGACTGGGGTCAGCAGAACTGCCACCTTGGACTTCGGGAAGGCAGACTTCGGCCTGTTTAGGAGACTGGTTGGCAAAGTCCCTTGGGAGGCAGTCCTGAAGAGCAAAGGAGTCCAAGAAGACTGGACATTTGTCAACAAGGAAATCTTAAAGGTGCAGAAGCAGGCCGTCCCCATGTGCCGAAAGACAAGGCAGCAGGGAAGAAGTCTAGTCTGGCTGAACAAAGAGCTTTGGCTGGAACTCAGGAAAAAAAGCAGAGTTTATGGCCTTTGGAAGAAGGGGCAGGCAACTCAGGAGGACTACAAAGATGTCGTGAGGTTATGCAGGGAGAAAATTAGAAGGGCCAAAGCCCAGCTAGAACTTAATCTGACTACTGCCATAAAAGACAATTAAAAATGTTTCTGTAAATACATTAACAACAAAAGGAGGGCTAATGAGAATCTCCATCCTTTATTGGATGTGGGGGGAAACATAGTGACAAAGGATGGGGAAACAGCTGAGGTACTTAATGCCTTCTTTGCGTCAGTCTTTAGCAGTAAGACCAATTGTTCTCCGGGTATCCAGCCCCCTGAGCTGGAAGACGGGGACGGGGAGCAGGATGAAGCCCCCATAATCCATGGGGAAATGGTTAGTGACCTGCTACACCACTTAGACACGCACAAGTCTGTGGGGCTGGATAGGATCCGCTCAAGGGTACTGAGGGAGCTAGCGAAAGTGCTCACCAAGCCACTTTCCATCATTTATCAGCAGTCCTAGCTAACTGGGGAGGTCCCAGTTGGCTGGAGGTTTGCAAATGTGACACCCATCTACAAGAAGGTCCAGAAGGAGGATCCAAGGAACTACAGGCCTGTCAGTCTGACCTCAGTGCGGGGAAGGTTACCTTGAGTGCAGAAAGCAGATCATCTTTACGTGCAGGACATCAGTACCAGTCAGCATGGGCGTATGAACGGCAGGTCCTGCTTGACTAACCTGATCTCCTATGACAAGGTGACCCGCCTAGTGGATGAGGGAAAGGCTGTGGATGTTGTCTACCTGGACTTTAGTAAAACTTTTGACACCATTTCCCACCACATTCTCCTGGAGAAACTGCCAGCTTATGGCTTGGATGAGCGTACTCCTCACTGGGTAAAAAACTGTATGGATGGCCGGGCCCAAAGAATTGTGGTGAATGAAGTGAAATCCAGTTGGTGGCTGGTCACAAGTGATGTTTCCCAGGGCTCAGTACTGGGGCCGGTTGTCTTTAATATCTTTATCAATGATCTGAACGAGGGTATCAAGTGCACCTTCAGTAAGTTCACGGACGACACCAGGTTGGGCAGGAGTGTTGATCTGCTTGAGGGCAGGAAGGCTCTACAGAGGGTTCTGAACAGGCTGGATTGATGGGCCAAGGCCAACTGTATGAGGTTCAACAAGGCTCAGTGCCGGGTCCTGCACTTGGGTCACAACAACCCCAGGCAACGCTACAGGCTGCAGAAGAGTGGCTGGAAAGCTGCCCAGTGGAAAAGGACCTGGAGGTGTTGATCAACAGCTGGCTGAATATGAGCCAGCAGTGTGCCCAGGTGGCCAAGAAAGCCAACAGCATCCTGGCTTGCATCAGAAATAGTGTGGTCATCAGGACTACAGCAGTGATTGTGTCCCTGTACATGGCACTGGTGAGGCTGCACTTTGAGTTCTGTGTTCAGTTTTGGGCCCCTCACTACAAGAAAGATATTCTGATGCTGGAGCTTTCTTTTCTCTTAAGCACTTTGCAGAAACAGACTTTTCTGTGGATAGCTGCAGTTCCCTTTAAATTGCATTTCTTTGCTAAAGAATTAATTTTCCAAAAATTGGATGAGAATGCCTAGCCAGAGCTGGAAGAAATTTGTGAGTGGGATAAAGCTGGCAGTCAGCCGGGGAGAAAAGAGAGGAAAATGATCCACCCAAAATACCTTCTGTATTTGTTCTCCCTCTCCCTTTTTCTCTTTTCCCTTTCTGACTTTCCCCTTTTGTTTGGGAGTGTCATGCCTCTCTTGATACAATGCCTAGCACAGAGGGAAGCTGATCTGGGTTGGTCCCTAGGCACTAGTGCGATAAATTAGGATGAATCATAATTTTTAATGCTGCTGCTAGCACTGGCACGGACTAGTTGCCTCTATTTGAGAAGCGAGGATACACTCAGCATGGAGACAGGTCTCTGCAGGCTGTTACTGAGTTGGAAAAATCAGAGTGTTTGGTCACCTCCTGGCTTGCTATTTATCCGTGGTTCAGGATCAGGAAAACTGCTGATGGCTTTTCAAAACACTGCCTTGTGACCAGGGGAACGATATGAAGAAAGGAGAAACACCAGGGAAAGAAATGTGTGTGTAAGAGAATGACCCCAGCTTCCCAAAGATGTTTTTCCCATTCCTGAGGTCATCTAACCTCTTGCTGTGATTGCCCAGATGGACACGTGGCCCCAGCTGGAACTACAGGGCCCATATCTACCTTAGTAAATGGATTTGGGACGATATACTCCGTTGGAGGGACGCATCCCCTTAGTTTAAAGGGAGAAAAATTGCCAGTGTAGCAAAACCTATCCTTTTCCCTCTGGTACTTTTCCTCTGCCTTCCTGTTATGTGAACTAGGAGAGTGCAAAAAGCTGAACTGCTGATTTTTTTTATTTTTTTGTGGAAAATACATTGAAGCTGAAACATTCAGGAAAAAAACAACAAACCAGAAACCTCTTGGATTTTCAACTTCCTTGTGAAGCTGACATGGGGAAGCCTGGGAAAAAGTAATATTTTTTATATTAGAAAAAGGGTGGGATCTGTCACTGGGGAGAGGGCTGAGAGGCTGGAAATAAAAACAGATGAAGAATTACTGCAGATTGTGTTAGCAGGGCAGTGTCAGTAATTAGAGGAAGATCGACACACTTTAGATTCACACTAACGATTCATATCATAGCCCAGGGCAGGCATCTGATTTATTCGGCTCCATTCAGGAGCAGTGCTGGGCTACACAAGCATCTAAATGTCTCCCTCAAGCTGCTGTCTTTAGGTTCCAGTAGTAAATTAAAGGTCTATAGGATGAAAGGCCAAAACCCGCACAAAAGCTGCAGGCAGTGCCAGGGTTGTAGGGAAGAGCTGCTCCAGTCTCTGCTGCTGATTGCTTGTTGCAGGCCCTTCTGCCCCATCCCTGATCTGCACAGGGGTCTGCCAGGGCCTCTTCCCCCGTCCCTGCATCTCAGCTAGAAATGATGCATAACTCCAGCCCTGGAACGAGACTAAACCAGCTGCCAACAGTGCATGTGACTATTCAGCATATCAGGCATATCTGAAACCCCTCCAACAATTTGTTGCTGGACTTCCTGTTTGCAATGACGGTGGCTTTGGGTTTAACAGACCCATCTTGGAGGGTGATGCATAGGACCATGAGCCCCCCAGTTGGGAGCCCCAGTGCAGTGGCAGGGACCTCTGCCATCCTGCACCTCCGCTGTCCCACTAGTCACATCCATTGCTGTGTCAAGTCACAGAATCACAGAATTGCAGAATCACAGAACGGTAGGGGTTGGAAGGGACCTCTGGAGATCATCTAGTTCCAACCCCCCCTGCTAAAGCAGGATCACCTACAGCAGGTTGCACAGGATCGCGTCCAGGCCGGTTTTGAGTATCTCCAGACAAGGAGACTCCACAACCTCTCTGGGCAGCCTGTCCCAGTGCTCGGTCACCCTCACAGTGGAGAAGTTTTTCCTCGTGTTCAGCTGGAACTTCCTGTGTTCCAGTTTGTGCCCATTGCCCCTTGTCCTGTCACTGGGCACCATTGAGAAGAGTCTGGCCTCCTCCTCTTCACACCCACCCTTTAGATATTTATAAGCATTGATAAGATTCCCTCTCAATCTTCTCCAGACTAAACAGACCCAGCTCTCTCAGCCTTTCCTCATTTTGTCCCCCCACTTGACATCACTTTGAGCCATGCGGCTCAAGAACCACTTCCAGTATAGCGGGGGCAATGCAGGGCACAGCACAACTGATCTGAGTAGCAGGGTGGCTGACATGCCCTGCCCTGTGCTGATGGCAAGGCAGTAAATGCTTCTAGATTTGTCTCAGCTCAGTCCAGACTAGGTTCAGTCACAGGTCTCTAAGTCAGCAGTGGGCCCTGGGAGCCATCTGCCCGGGAGGGTTCCTTTAGCATCATAGACTCAGCATGAATGTGGCTTCAAGTCCCTCTGCCTTATGCCTAAAGCCACATCTATGCCTTTCCCCAAGGTTGTGTCAGCCTTGTCTGCAGTGTATCTTCTTGGCTGAAGTTCTTGAGCTGAGTTTCCCTCCAGTCTCTCAAAACCTCCTTTGATAATGTGTTTCTTCCCCTTTTCTGGAGACTATCTTTATCCTCTGGTGCCACTCATCGTTAAACCTTGCAACACTTCAGTTTACAACTAGGCTGAAAGACATACCCAGATGGAGATGTGATATCAATTAGTGCATCTGGTCTGGACATCTCCTTATGAACATGAAAATGTTAATCCTCATAGCTTCTCAGAAATTTTAGGAGATGGGTATCTCCATGCTGAAAGCGGGATGTAAGGTAGCAGCGCTCAGACCCTGTATATCCATGTATATGTGAGTGTTTCTCTTTGGGCTCCTTTTGAGAACTAGTTAATAGAACCAGGGGAGCTGGAGGTGTGGTCCACCTCCTTGTAAGTGTTTGTCTAAACAGACAAGAAGAATCACACCCTGGGAGTGTTTAGTTCTCTCTGTTGACTCTAAAGGAGGCACAGAAAGTTTGATGAGTTGGATCATTGCAAATCTTCTACTCCCACTGCGATGAAAACTGGAAATCAGACCTTGTCAGGGCTTTCAGGTGGGAAGAAACTTTCATGTGTATGCAGATCTTTTAAAATCTTCTGCTCTTTACAGCTTTGCTCCTTCTGATAAAATCAACAGTGCTTTCATTTAAGATGGTTCACAGACTCCCAAAGGAAGCAAAGCCATGTGTAAGAACCATTTCATTTGCAGAGCTGAGCTTGTTCAGCATGCAGTGGAAAAGGTGGGAGAGCCGGGGAGCTCCACTTGTGGAGAACTAAGGCAATGTGATTTACAGGGCACGTGAGGAAGGGAAAGATTGTCAGCTATTCAGGCGGGCACTCCACTGTATGTTCTCAGTAAAGTCCAGTGTCCTTGTAGTGTTTCCGATTTTCTTAGGTTGTATTCAACCTTGGGCTTGCCGCAGGCAATTGGAATAGCTTTGTGGTCTACTTGGAGAATATTTATTGAGTATTTCAGCTAATGCTTCTTCCTAAGACAAGGGATCTGCTCACCAGAGCTGAACTCGTGAGTGTCTCTCGCGTCAGGCTAGAAATACTTAATATCACATGAAGGGGAACCAAGAGAGACGGAACAAGTGCGTGTGTGTTTGTGTCTGTGTGTATCAGCTTATTTAAAACCTTGTTAAAGAAGATAAGCACTCAAATTTTGGACTTTGCTTCCTAGCACCCATATTAAATGAAGGAAGACAATGTTTGGGACTGGCAGCTTCTTCACAGTGGATTCAGTGCAATGCTACTATAGAACAGCACCTTCTGCAGGAAATGGAGATGAAAATGCACTGTTTTGGGGTGAATCTCACCCCTCGTTGTGGACCAATAAGCTAATACATCTCCTCTGGAGTTAGGTGGCACATGGACTGCTTTCCCTCATAGGCATAGTGGATGTCACCTGCACAGGGGGATGCTAAACCTCTGCAATGCAACAGGACTCCAGGAGGGAGCCAACCTCTTAGATTTCAAGGCCAAAAGGGGACCACCATAATCTCCCTATGAAGAGTCTTGTATAATGCAGTTTGGGCTGACCAGTGTCCCTGTGCCTTTGGGGGTCATCTGCAGCACATCCAAGGTTTCCCAGAGTAACCACAGTCTAGACAGGATGACTGCAGCACTGAGGATGGTGTGGGGTGTGTTGAGGAAACAAGGTGGAGGCCATGTTGCTGTGCCTTCACTGCTGATGTTATTCAGTCATCTAGGATGGGTTTGTGCCAGAAATTACACCTCTCGTTGGACAGGCTGTCCTGAGCTGAACAAGCTGAAAAAGGGCTAGTAGCCCTACTGGTAATTAAGAATCAAGCAACCTGCCCCAAATACTTTATCCGTAGTTCTCTACTGTTGAGCTGTGAGATGAGGTGGTAAGGTTTCTTATGGGACATTAGAAAGTAGATTGAGATAATACATTATATAGCAGGATGCTATCTGCAGCCTGTGAAGGACAAGAGAGACTTCTCTGCTCCCCTCCCCGCTGTCCCCAGTACAATCCTTCCAGGCTTGTCCCTTCAAAGTATTGACAGGAACATAGAAACTCACACAGAGCTGGATTTCACCTTCTACCAGTTGGTGTTGTGGAAGGACAGGGAAGATGAGGATCCAACCCTGGCTGTTGAGGGCAGGAGGGTGGTTAGAGACATGTGAGCAGCAAACTGAAGTGAGACTCTGAAGATGAGCTGACTCATCTCCCAGCCATGGATGCGAAGAAGCAGGTCACAGCTCTGCCTGGAAGAGGGCTGAGGGGCTGGGAGGATGGAGGGTGGTCTGGGGATGGGGAGAAGGATACTGCTATGCCCTGACTGCTCCTTTGGGCCTTTTATTCCCAGTAACTGGTACGTTCCTTCCAGCTGCCTTTGTGTAGCTTTTGAGTGACAGGGAAAGTGCCCCAATGTAAACAGATCATTTGTGGTAGCTGAAGAAAAATGCTCTTGGCTGCTGCCTCCGGTGCCAGTGTCAAATTTCAGCTCAAACCAAGCTTCATCTCAGCTTAGCTGGGTGGTGAGGGGTTGGGCTGGTCTTAGTAAAGACGTGATGCAATTTGCTTGCACCCGCAAAGGGGGAATAGTGTTCTTAGAAAATGCCTGTACTGCTCTGTAAAATATCCTTGGTTTTCCACAGTCCTGTCATTTGAGAACGTTGCTTTTTCTGCTGTGGAAAGGGCAAATACATGGTGTCACTGAGAGAGGGGGAGACATGCTGTGCAGAGTGATGGGTTGCATTGGCTAATTCTGAGATTGCCTTTTTCTGGAATAACTAGCACCCTCCAAAGCCAGGACTATTGAACACATCCATGTGGCAACAAATCTCCTACTGACTTCACTGGAAGCTGCGGGATCTAGGGGTGCTCCTGGGCTGAAGGAACTGATTTTGTAGCACAATCTGCTCACTTGGAGATTGCACCCAGGCAGTCACCCTTCTCAGTACTGCTTCCTGCTGTCAGCATCGCCACTGCCTTGTTCAGGTTCAGAGTCAGCCCTCTCCAGGCTTCAGCCTTCCTCCCACAGTCAGATCTTGCACAAGAGATACATCAGCGGTATGGTGGTCTGTGATGAACCATGCGCTGTTGGTGTGTTCCTTCACCTGAGATTTTATGTGGACTTTGAAAGAGACTGAAGAGAGTTGATTCAGCACAAGAAATGTGCTCCTTGGATTAGCTCAGCAGCCAACTGTGTTACGTTGGCACATGCTGCTGGTTATTACTAGTGTTGTACCACAATAGCAGTGCCAGGATGAGTTCTTTTCAGAAGAGGAGGTATCTCTGGGAAGGGTCTGGGAACTCTTCCTCGGGCTGTCAGCACCCAAAGGTTTCACCTGCAAGATCTCTTACATATGAAAACCCCATGTCTGCTATGCAGGAGGCACCTGTCCATAAATTAGTGGACCTCTCTCCCCATTAAAATGTCTAGTGGAGCAGAGGGCTGCACTGCTTCAGACCCTGCATGGATTTCACACCATTTCCCAAGTTGTGTGTGTGTTTATAATGGCACATTGCAGAGACTGGGGTAGATTAAATAACTTGGCCACACAGAGGGGCAGAAACAGTGCTGTGAATAGCTCCCATGAGCCCTGACCTCCAGGCTTGGCTCTGTTTGCTGAGCCACATTCAGTTTTGAAAAATATAGTATGTTTTTATTGCCACTAACAGCACGAGCTTTTGACTAGTTGAGGGGACGGACAGCTCTGTATCAGAGGGGAACCTGCAGGCTGTCTGGGGTTTTCCAACTCATGGCTTGTGGTCTCAGAGACTGGCCAGAGGCAGGGCAAGAACTCAGTGAATAAACAGACTTATTTTTTATTTGTATCTATTGATAATAACCTGTGACTGATGCAACTCTAAAAGGCTCTAGCCGTGGTTGCTGCTGAGGAGCTGTTATATCCTTGGTCCTTCAGGGCAGGCCAGGATCTTTTCTAATCACCAGCTGTTTTGTCCACTTTTCCTTATGCAGCAATTGAAATGGAAGATTCTTGTGAAAGGCAAGAAGCTGAGCAGGCAGGAGGACCCTGCCGGAACAAATGGGAACAACAACCTAGAGGCTGAGGATGTCTCTGATGAAGATGAAGCTGCTGAAATCGAAGATGAATCAGTAAAGACTGAGATACAGCAGAAGGGGAAGGTAAATAAAAGAAGTAACTGAGTCCCGAAAAGAGGCAGACCTGGAGAGAAAAGCTATAAACTAGATTTTTGCCTATTGCAGAAGTCCTGCATCAGGAAATCCCATCTTGTTAGCTTATCCTATGACTCAGCCAGTTTCTAGGTGGGTTTTGTACCATGTCTAAAGAAAAAAAAAAAGGAAAGCAATTGAAATACATTTAATATATTCCCAGCTAAGACAGTTTTCAGTGTGGTTCCAGCTACTCAGCTGGTGATATGTAAGGGTGAATTGTTGAAATCGCTGGAGCTAAGGATCCTGATCCTTGCTGAGCTTAACGATCTCTGTCCCAAGCACAAACAGAGATCCTGCAGAGCCTGCCAAGCATGAAGGTTAGCTTCTTTCCTTAAAATAAGGCTGGAAGACTCTGCAGCTGGGACAGACCATGTAGCATTTATGGAAGCACATGTTAAATCTATCTCTGTCTGATTTCCAGAAATCTGTTTGTCATGGGACCGTCATGACTGTTTATTACCAGAGACTGGTGCTTTTCTTGTCACATTTGGGACATACCTGCACCCTCACTGGCCATGTTTTTCTGACTCAGAGGAGGGACGGAAGGGATCTATGGGGAAGGAGGGGCTGGTTACCAAAGCAATTGGGGTGTATATTTCTGGGAGGAAAAGGCTTGCCTTTACACCAGTGTTTTGCTCCCTCATGTGAGGGCATTCATTTTTCCAGACTGCAGGTCATTGTGAAGGTTGTATCCCTTATGGACCAGGTTCATAGATGATATAAATACATTCAGTCCCACTGATGGCAAAGCTGATTGACATTGCCTCTGGTCTGATCTATGCTTTCCGTTGCTGATTTGCTCAGTCTTTGCGGGTCTTATTTCTTTCTCTGAACCGTAGTCAATAATGTGTATAATTTTGAAGTCTATCATTTTCTTTTCTTGCCTCCGATGGGAGCTGGTGGCTCTGACTTCACCTTTACACCAATGAATGTGGCTGTGGAGTAGGAGACATCAAAGCATTGTGAGACCTTCCTAGTTCAATAGGAAAAAGCCCAAGCTCTGTGGAGGCCAAAACAACCTTCCCTTCCCCTTATTTCCAGGTTTGTATGCCTGGGACCAGGATAGTATGGAAAATCCATTGCTAAGGCTCAGTTGTAAAGTTTAGCAACTGGAGACAGCCATTGGTGCTGAAATACAAGTGATCATACAGAAAGCAGCAGAAAGGATATCCCACCAACAAAGAGAGAATCCATCTGGAGGACATCATGCAACAAGGGTGCTGGGACAGCAAAGCATCTGTTGTGTGAAATCCTCTCTTAGCTCACCAATACAGGCTGATTGGGTTGTTCCTGTGTTTGTGGCCCTAATGACTTGTAAGCTGTGATGACCAAGCTGAAATACTCATTTATATAATGAGATGCAAATAAATGCAGAAGGAGGGACAGCCCAGGTGAAATATTATTGATAGTCAGGAATATCATTGGAGAGGCCAGGATGGGCTGAGAGGGCACTGATGCTCTGAGAGGAGGGATTAGCAGTCTCCATGCTAATAGATGATATAAATACATTCAGTCCCACTGATGGCAAAGCAGTCTGCCCCTTTTCCACCCTCTCCCTGCATAGAGGTGTCACTGAGTGTTGATAGCATGCAGCCTTTTCATGTGAAGATGGTGGAGAAGAGAAGCCCCAGGGATCCTGGACAAAACATGATTATTACTTTTGAGTATGACTGCAGAAACTCCCCACAAACCTCTTGCTCTCTTGCTTTTAGAGTGACACCTTGAAGCTGGCCAAGGAGCTGTCAGACACAGTTGTCTACTGCAAGAGCGTCCATTTCAATGGCTTTGAGGACCCCAGCCATCCTCGGGCTTTCTACGAGATGTCATCGTTCACAGAGAGCAAAGCTCTGAAACTAGCCCAGGAATCTGGTATATATTGCCCTGGCAAAAGACCGTTCTCTGTCCCAGTCCCCCATAAAGGGACAGCTGGTGGTGGTTAAGCACGAGGGAAAGGAATCCTGAAAGATGCGGGTTATGATCTCTTTGGACATGCATGTCACTGAGAAACAGTGGGAATAACTTAATATCATAGAGGCTGTTACCAAAAAGGGCATTTATACAGGCAGTTCACATTCAGCCAGACTTGCTAGGTGGAGGAGTAATTTATACGGCAGCATCAAGAAGAGTTAAAAGTAGCCCCCATCACTGAAAGAACAATTTTCTTCTTTTTTTTTCTGTAGGAACCAATTTTATTCATCACAACATCAGGCACCTGAGCCGGATCTACCCTGCAGGCTGGAGGACAGATTCTTCCAACTACAACCCCGTCGACTTGTGGAATGTTGGCTGCCAGATTGGTGGGTGCAACTGGAAGGTTGGAGAGGGTCAACCTGGCTGGGTCGCCCATGACCCAGCTATGGAGGGGCTTCAGCTGAGGTAGATGTGTGATCTCAAGCCATTTGCAGGCGGAGAGGCTCAGTGGTCACTGGGAGAGATCAGCTCTTCAGACAATGCTCAGTGACTTTTCATAGACCATTTTCTGGCCCACCTCAAAACTGTTAGGAGAGCCTTTCCTGCACATTCATTTGCACATCCCTGCAATTTCACTGGAAGCAGAGTTACTGACATTTAACAAAGGAGGAAGAAACCAGGAGTTGGAGTCACTTACTGAAAAGTGTGCTGAAATCTCTGGCAGAGATGTAAATTGAACTCAGCTCTCTTGAGCCTTAGGACAAGGCCATAACCATAAGGGCCAAGCCATGGCCTGAGCTGTTCTCTGTAGTCGAAGCAGTGTATCACACCTACTCCCAGGGTGTTGAGGCTCCTGATGGTATATTGATGTCTCAGAGATTTGATGAAAACAAGGGTCTCAGAGTCAGTTAAGTGAATTGTGTTGTAGCTATCATCCAGGAAACCTGCTGCAGTGGTAAGTGGGCAGGCTGGCGATGACGTGCTTGGCTCTCTTGGTGGTACTGGCTGTTGGACATTTCCCCATTGTGCCTATGTGGCCCAGCCAAACAAGAGAAGCTGCAGATGTAGGGCTCCCTGACCCCCAGCCACGTGGACCTGCATGGGCTGGATGTGCCTGGCAGCATATGAACTCGCTGGGTGCTGCAACCCGTGTGGGGGCACAAGTACCACCCATTGGCCTGCCTCCCCAGCATTGAGCCTGGCCTCAGGAGAGTCCCTGGGAGGCAAGCAACATCAAGTCCCTCAGGGTACACTAAGGCCAGACTTGCATGCCTTATCTGACCTGAATTCAGTATTTGGGCACTCAAAATAAACTTCTTTCAGAAGCCATGAGTACTTGCAGCTCCTAGTAAAACCAGTATACTGCAGTTATTAAAGTCTTGCTTGCAGATGAAAAAACAAGGGACTGCCTTAAAATGCTTCTGGTCATCAAGTATTACAGGGTATGTAGGACCCAGGACCTTTAGAAGTTGCTAAATTGGTTAGCATCACCCTTGAGAAATCAATGGAGTACTGAGGAGGTGCTGGGGTCCATGTGCGCTCCCTATGTGGTATTAGCGAAACTGTTACTAAGACTGCTTCCAGATTTGACATGAACGCTTTTAAAAAGACAGTGGCAAATTGGAAAGAATACAAGAAATCTGCCTGATGTTAGGACACCAGTGAGGCTTGATCTATTTTAGACAGGGGACAATAAAGAGATGATTTGATCACAGCTTCTGTATTCTTGCATGAGGAGTTCAGACAGCGAGTAGCTCTCTAGTCTAACCAACAAAGGCATCAATGGCCTTCAGGACGGTAGGTGGAAATAGGCATATCTGGGCTGGAAAGGAGGTTTTATAATGAGGCTAAGTAGCCAGAAAAACAATCTGAGAAGGATTTGCTGGCTTCCCTGCAGGAGATAACTCCTTCAGCATAGAAGTGAATAGCTTTATCTGAAAGATGCAGTTGCCCAACCAGGTGACAGAAATTCAATGCAGGACACTTTTTGACCCTGTGGCAGGCAGGAGGACAACTGAGATGGCTGTAATGGCTCCTCCTGTCTCTACTGTCTCTGAATGCAAGAAATCCTGTGGGGTAGCAGACTGTGAGTTTATCACTGCTCTTTGAAGCATGGAAAAGCCAATGTTTATGTCCATGAAGTACAATTTCATGTGAACAGAATTAGTATAAAAAGACTCCCATTTATTTATCTGAAAGTGACTGAATTTATTTATTTATGTTGCAGTTGCTCTAAATTTCCAGACAGCAGGCACAGAAATGGATGTCTACCAGGGTCGGTTCCAGGACAATGGGTTTTCTGGGTATGTCTTAAAGCCGGAATTCCTCCGGGATGAGCAAACCAAATTCAATCCAAAATCCATCACAGAAGGAACATGGGGGACAAAGAAGAAACTTCTGCTTAAAGTAAGAATAGAAGATGGAAAATGTCTCAGTAGCATCCACCTTCAGGGGGTGTGTGTAGATTGTACCTTCTCCTTCCCCTGGTCCCTCCTGACCAATATTATCCTAACCCTACTCATTTCCCACTGCTGGGGTCTCTGCTTTAGTCCTACATGGGCTCTCATCATTATATTTTTAATGTTTGGCAATAGCAGAGGTTAATGACAATATTCACTGTCGTTACAGAAACATACAGGCAGACACGCAGTCAACAGTCACCACTGTTGTTTCCAAGTATCATCTGATCAGTGTGGGGACAGTTAGAAAAGTTCTCTGCCCCCTAACCAGCTGGCTGGGCTGGAGAAATGTTCATTAGGTACTTTGGCTCATGATGACTTCCTCTGAAGGATGTCACAAAGCTGGCTCTGAAAGAGCAGCACCAGCTTGTCACAACAGGTCCTGCACTCCCAGAGAAGAGGAAAGTTTGCCAGGGAGCCCCCGCTCCTAATGATGTCCTGAACTCTTCCTCTCTTTCCTCCATAGATCATCTCTGGTCAGCAGCTGCCCAAGGTGAACAAAAGCAAAAACTCTATCGTTGATCCTAAGGTAACAATAGAGATCCACGGTGTCCAACAGGATAACAACAAGAAGCAGACCAAAGTCATTGAAAACAATGGTAAGGGGTTTTCTTCCATGCCATGCTCCCCTGGGGCAGTAACCCTGTGGTTTCATGTAGCAGAGTATTCCTTGCCAAGATCTGCCCAGGTGCACCTGAGCCTGCCATGCTAAGCAGACATATGAGATGCTGTTGGCCTACTTCAGTGCAGGAACCCTGGTTATAGACTGTTGGTGGCATGAACTAGCCCCACAGACTGATGTCCCTGTGGAGAATTACTTTCAGGGGTTCTTTCCTCTTTTTTCTCTCTAAAATGTTTGGAGACAAATTCCCTGCAAAACAACATCAGCCATATGAGTTGTTTTGAGGCTGGCTGCCAAATCTGCAGAGCTAGAGGTTTGGGAGTGCTCTTTACCTCCATGCAGTTGGACTTGACTTGGGATGCACAGATCCCCACCAAGATCTTCCTGGAGAAGGCTTCTTGTGAGGCTGATTTTATCCTGAAAGTGTCACAAACTCACAAAAGATTGAGGTTGCAAGGGACTTTGGAGCTGACTGTTCCAGCCTCTGCCCAAAGCAGGACCAACCTCAAAGTTAACTCAAGATGTTCAGATGAATTTTGAATGTCTGAGAACATGGAGATTCCTCAGGCTCTCTGGACTCTCTCTAGTGATCCAGTCTTTGACTGACCTCATGATAAAATAAGATATCCCTATTTTTAACCAGAAATCCCACTGTTGCAGTTTGTGTCTGTTATGCATCATACTTTTACTGTGCACCTGTCAGAACAAGCTGGCTGTATTCTCTCTATAAGAAGGTAGTAGAAGATGGCAATAATAACCCCTTAGCCTTCTCCAGGCTAAATAACTTGACCTCTCAGCCTCTTCTCATACAGAACTTAGTCTGTGCAAAAGGAGAACATTTCCTGTAGCTTAGAGCATCCTCACGAGGTGGGTACACGGCATCTGCTCATCCTCTCAGCCAAAATGGCAATGGCACTGGTGCTAAATTAATGCACAACTCAGTAATGTTGCAGATGAGGGATGAAAGCTGTCAGCCCCAAGCTCCAAAGAGCCGGCCTCCAGCCTTACCCAACATTGACCTTAGAAGTCTCACAGACACTTCACCTCCCCATGGACCATTTCTCATCAAACACGGCTGTGATTTCCCTCTGTGCAGTAAGGGTCTGAATATTGTGGCCTCCTGAGTTTGCAGAGGGCAAGTTCAGCCCTCTCTCCTGTGGGAGTAATGAGAAATCAGTCCTCACCCTCCCACTAACAAACACACGGGTACACACACGCACGCATGCGCGCGCGCGCGCGCACACACACACTCTGCTTTTCTGTGTGGAGTAAAAGCCAAGTGCTAGAAAGCTAATGCGTATTTTCCTCCCTGCTAACAATGTTTCCCTTTTCCTCTTTCCTGTTTGAGTAAATCTGGCCTGGCTCCTAAAACTCACGGCCATTTCCATCACCTGCAATGATTTTTGTAATGTCTTGAGTGAAAGCTGTGAATGTCTCAGTGAAAGCTGCGTAGGGAACGTTTCAGACCTGCCAGGCCTGTTCCTCAGGGCTGCTCAGCACACCTGGCTCCACGGCCAGCCCTTGACTGGATGGAGGGATACTGGAGCGATGCCGGAGGGATGCTGGAGGGAGTGTTGCCCAATGAAAAGTGAATCAAACCATGAAAACATCAATGTTGGAAAGGGATGGCTGCAGAGAGGGGGTTGCATTTCACGGGCTGAGGTTTCAGATATGAGACCATGCTTCAGCAGCTCACCTGGTTTGATGCTAGTGGGACTGAAGCAGGGGCTGTGGACACAGATCAGGGCCTCATGGAGCTCGAGAGGCTGTGGGAACCTGCTGGCTCAGCAGCTCGAAGAATCTCACTGTGGCTCTGAGATGGGTTGAAAAATCCCCTGTAGATATCTGAACAGTGAAACCTACTGGCCTAGGGCCAATGACTTTCCCTCAACTTTCATGATTTCTGCTCCCATGGGATCAGCACCACTGGTTTTCTTCCCAAGGATGAAGGGAGTCAGGAGCAGGTGTCTGTTGTCTGAACAGTCCAGTTGATTTAATCCCATCAAAGTCCAAATAAAGTGCACCAATCCAGCACACGTATTTTGCTATGGCACTGTCCACAGCCCATCTCAGCACCTTCAGGGCTAGCTGAAAGATCCCTGCCTCCTGCCAAATCGTCCGCAGACCTCCCCCCCCATGACCAGAGCAGGCTTGAGCTGATGTTTTGCTGTCCTTGGACTTCCGCTCTGCACAGGCTGGGCTGATAACAGCAGGGTTTCAAACAGGATGTCCTCTCCTCCTGTTTGTTTCTGGGGAGTGGTTTATTGAAACTGCAGAGAACACCCACTGTGACCTGGAGAGCGAGCTCTGAGCTTGCTCTTCGTCTCTCATCTGATGTGACAGTCACGGCTTTGTTTGTTTTGTGAGTCCGGATCACAAGATCCTTATCCATAACAGAAGTGGGGCTAGTCTGCCTGTCTCAGACACTGCCCTTACACAGGGAGACATAAAACGTTTTGTCCACAGACTTGATGATGCTTTTTGTAATCAGACACTCCTCATTAATGTTTCTTGCAGAAAGGGAAACTGAGGCACAGAGTGGTGACAGATGGGTGTACCTCGAGCACGCAGTGAGGCTTAAGGCCCCGGCAGGCTGTCACAACACAAAGGCACAGCTTCCTCTCTGGTTTAGGGCTGTAAAAACTTGCAGCTGGTCCAATGGCAACCAAAGACCTCAGCTCGGCTCCCTCCTGCTCCTCGCTGCCTTCTGGGAGCGTGGTGCTGGGGTCTATGGGTGAGCAGCCTAAGCTGAAGGGTTTATTAATACCAGGTAGAAAAACAGTGTCAGAGCTGGGAACAACGGTCTCGGCACCTTCTGATACCTTTGGCCTGGGTCAGATTAGGTTGGCAGTCAGGCAAAGTCTCCATCCTGTTGCAAGCATCTCTGCCCTCCATCCTTATTCACCAACGTCTCTGACCTCCATCATTGCTTGTGAGCATCTCTCACTTCCTTCCTTGTCTGTGAGCAGCTCTGACCTCCATCCTTGTCTGTGTTGCTCAGGCTTTAACCCAAAGTGGGACGAAGAGTTTACATTTGACATCGAAATCCCTGCACTTGCCCTGGTCCGGTTTGTGGTGGAAGACTTTGACATGTCGACTAAGAACGACTTCATCGGGCAGTACACCCTTCCCTTCACTAGTTTGAAGCAAGGTAAGGCCCTGCTCCCTGTTCCTGACAATCACTGAGCCCTCTGGGAAGCTCTGGTGTCCTAGATGAGCAGTCTAGATCCATCACACCTCGGGTCGGAACAGGTCTTCTCTCTGGGGTGTGGGCAAGATGCTAAATGGGTTATTGGGCAGCTGTTAACACTGTCTCTGGGGAAGGGATTCCCTGGTCACCAGTGGCCTTGGGCACGTTACGTTACTGATGCCCAAAGCCATGCCTCTCAGACCTATCTGTTCTGTGGGGTACTGGGAGCAAAACACTCGTGTGACAGGGAGATGTTTTTGCAAGGTCTTGGCAAATGTTAGCAAACATTTTTCCAACCAGACTAAAGGCCAGTTACTCTCTGTGTTTCTTCCAGGTTACCGCCACATCCATCTTCTGACCAAGAATGGAGACCCGTACTCGTCCTCCACCCTCTTTGTGTACATCGATATCCAGGACTGTGATTAGCAGCTCAGCTCTTTCAGGGCACAGTGAACCTCATTACAGACCTAGAAGGAATTCAGCGTGCAAAGTCTGGCAATGTCAGGGTCCTATCAGATCCCCAGTACCTTCTCTGGAGCAGCACACGGTGCCCCAAAGGACCCCTGATAACCGTCGACCTTCTCCCTTCTGCGTGCTGGAAACATCCTAATGCTGCTGTTGAGATTAATCCTTTTGTACCTGTTTGACCAATCCAGCTGTGGTTTTAGTTCACTGTATTTAGTGTGATTTTTTAAATTCTGCTTTTAGCGAGAGGATAGGGACTTCTTTTTAGCAAAGTACAGCTCTTGGGTTGGGTTCAGTCAGACATCTGGACAAAACACCCAACATGTGTGCAAGAAAAAAAATCCACCCCACCACTAAAATCAGTGGCCAGATGCCTGGTGACTTCTTGCAACTTCAGATGTCAGCCATCTCTCACCATATGAAGTCTTAAACAGGGACAGAATTTCCCCTCTTATCTATTACAGATTCAAAAAGAAAACTGCACTACAAAGGCCCATGTTATATAACTCGACTTTCCTTTTGTATTATAATAAAAAATAGATGAACACTACTCTGCCCATGTGCCTGGCGCTCAGCCAGGTCGCTTTGCATTCAAAGCCTGGCTCTTGTCTTGTGAAGGAGAAAGAAGCTGCCAAGCGGCAGATTTCCCTCTAACCCAAAGCGAAACCCGCTCAGAGGGACCTCAGAGAACGTCTGTTGCCCGTGACAATGGAAATGCGCTCAACTGACAGTAGGGCTTTTTTAATGCAGTAAAACTTTCTTTGTTTGTGTTTTTATAGAAAAATGTCAATTTTTAACACAGAGGAAGTGGCAGTAGAAACCGTTGTAAATGTGAGCCTGGTCCCAGTTGCACTGTGGAGATAACCTAGCGCAAACAAACTAGCATTTTGCACAGCAACACAGTGTTTATGGCAAAAGGTGGTTTTTCTTCCAAGTACAACTACAGAGTTAAGGGAATATTGTTGAAATAAAATAATATATATTTTGAAGTGCCAATTATGTTATTAACAATATGTTAGACTATTAAAAGTAAAAAAAAAAAAAAGGAGAAAGTCCAATTAGTTGTCAGTATTTGCTTCTTTGTCTTACTTGAATGCAACACACATGAAGTTGGAGATAGGCCTGCTTAATTTCTTAAAGCTGTCAGTCTTTCTGGGGTTGTCATGTCTGGTGGTGGAGAGGACGGGCTACTACCAAAGAGGTTAATGTCCTTTTAAACAAATTCCAGTTCACTCGTTCCTCCACCTATTTTTATGTCCAAAGTAGCCTGGATGTAGTGATTCTTTGGCCCACTGCAAAACTGGGTTTCATTTAGTCCTACCTGGAGTTTGTTATGCTGCAGTAATCATTGCTGGACACGTTGATATTTTCCTCTTCACTACAATATTGTGTGATGTTGTAAACCATTGTCAGATTAAATGTGAATTATATCCACAACTCAAAGGCTTGTATGGAATTAATAACCAGCAGTTGAAAGAGTTCAAGACCGGCAGAGGCAGAAGGGGCCGTCCTGCAGCGACATGGGCTCTCCCTCAGCTGACCTCTGGGATGGGGCGTGTTGTATCAGGAGACACTTTTGAAGGCCAAAGCTAGAGCAACCTTGACTTCAACTCAAGGACAGCCTGCTCCCAGGATGCTCTGAGCTTTTTGTTGTAAGGAACCATGGGATAAAAAGCGTGAAGGAAGGATGCCCAGGACTGCCCTGTACCTCCTGGGGAGCTTGCCCCGTGCGGCCTGAGGCAGGCACGTTCCTCTCTTGTGTCAGCACCAGCTCTGGTGGGGTGAGTCAGATCTGCCCGCTGAGTTGGCTGAGAACAAATTATATGTGTTTTTGATGCTGCAGGAGTAGATTTCAGTTGGATTGAGATAAACTGACCCTCACCTGCTGTGGCCAGTGCTAGAGAAGTGGGGGACAGGGAATGGGGAGAGATGTGGGGACAGGGGTAGGACCGCACTATCCAGGGTCAGGGTGGGCTTAGATGGACTATGCAGAGAAGCCAGGGTTTCCTCTGCCTGTGGTGCACTTAAAGGTAAGCAAGATCCATGGGAAGAGACAACATCCCTCATCAGGTAGGCACCATTGGGGGAAATCTACTGGAGCCAGGTGGGAAAGTAGCCAAGATGGAGGTGGGATGGACCACAGCATGATGGACAATGCTGGAAGGTCTCTTCTCTCCCCAAAGGAAGGGATGTGGTCCATGCCATTATCGAGGGACCTCATCTCTGAGCAGAGTAGGAAGTGCTGGAGCCCCACTCCAGGCAAGAATTCTGGTGAAAAGAGCAGCAGAAACAGGACATGGCCCACCAGACACCGCAGCAAAAGCAACAAGTGGCATGAAAGCGAGGATGTGGGTGAGAAGCTTCCCTTTAGAAATCAGAGGCAGAGAGTAAAAACCAGCTGTCCCCATGAGAAGAAGAGAGCAGCAGCAGTTTCCACAGGCCCAAATATGAGAAGAATCTATTATCTGTACAATCCCACGCTGGTTTCCGAGTCCTGGCAGGAGCGCTCCGTTCATGTGTGCTGGTAAGCATCGCAGCAGCAGGAAAGCTTGTGGGGAATCATCCCAATCTCCCTAATCCGGCTGTATTTCCACCACTCTCCATTTGATTGCACGATGCATACAGTCATGGCTGATGGGTGGAATTGCTGTGTTTTATTGAGTAGCACATGCAATTTGTTAATTTGGGAGCTGGCAGGAGCATGCCGCAGTGGGGTGATGCAAATATTATTGCTTCCAGCAGTGGCAATAGAAACTGAAACAGGGATAACGTGCACTGATTGTATCCAGTGTGAACACAACAGGAGCAATCATGCAGCTAATTTGGCTGATTTGTGTCTCTGCTTGACTCTTTACCTTATTCTGCATGGGAGGAGTAATAATAGGTTTTGGGCTGGACCCTCCAGCAGAAGTGGGACGAAGTGGTAGCAGGAGCATGGAGGTAATGATGGGGCGTTTTGAAGTAACTACCAATTCTTAAACACAAAGATCTGTCCAGAAGACCCCATCGCCTGGAGGTCTTTGCCTCTAGCCTAGCCAGATGGTGACACTTTACCACTACTGTATGGTCCTGGGTGTCACATCAGAGCTCTTCACTCCTCAGCCATCAGCTGCCTGCAGTTCCTCAGCTCCATCCCCACATCCCTGCTGCAGGGGGAGGCAGTCAGGCCAACTGCTAAACGGCAAGTTCATGGGCGACGAGGGTACCTGGACATGGGGACAAATGGTCCTGGCTATGTGGTGTTTGGGAACAGGGCGGGCCTCAACTCCTCACTTGGTTCTTTTTTTTGGTGGGTTTTTGTTTGTTTGTTTTTTTTAAAAAAAAAATCCCAAATCCCATTAAAGACCACGTGTTTGAAGGATCTGTGAGCCTGCAGAGCTTTTCTCTGCTGCTGTTCTACCCCACATGCTGATCAAGGACACTCACAGTGCTGCTGCTGGCTGTTTATTTGGAATCATCGATCAGGGTGGCAATGCAGTAAAGCTGCAAAACCGCATCTTCTGAGTTCTTAAACATACGTGTTTCTTTCTTTCATTTACAGTTGTTTCCCTTAACCACCGATTGCTGACATTTCCCTCTGCCCTCCCCAATCAGACTGAGCTCGCAGTGTGGAACGGGCGCTCTCAAGACATCACAGGGATGGAGCCTGGGTAAAACCTCAGGTCATACCCAAAACCCTCCTGGCTTCCTCAAGCCTCTGGTCTGCAGCATGTGGACTCTTTACGCTCACCTGCACCCAGCTGTGCTCAGGGAGGCCAGGTGAGATTGGAGATGCTGTCTGAATGACAGAAAAATAGTCTGAGTCTTGTCTGGCAGTCAAAATCAACAGCTGTGTCTAGCCTTAAATCTCATTATCCTCTTGAATTAGATCAGCTAATAAATATGTTTTTAATAAATGTTTTTTTTTCCAGGACAGGTTCTCATTTGTTTTACCAGCACTATATGCATTTTAGTCTACAACTGATTCTGGCTGTTCTTTGGTGAGTAGCTTTTTTGCAAAGTGAGAAGGGGCTGAACTGTTTGGTCTCAATGGGCTATCCCATCACACATCTGGCTACTCCATTACCTTTTTCCTGACCCTAAGGCTCCCCCTCTGTCCTCCTAGGGCTTCCCCTCCTCTCCCCACCCAGAATTTACATAGTAGCTGCAAGTGGCCTTTGTCTTGCCTAATTTTACACTTCTACAATTGAAGGAAGATCATGACCTTGTGCACATGGCAATTTGAAAAAGGGAGAGGAAAGACAGTTGCATGACATACACTTGTCTTCATGGCTATCAGAAATAAAATGTCAAAAAGAGGCAAAAACATCCTGCAAAATCATTCCTGCAAAAGGTTTTGCCTCCTTGGATTCAGGTTTTTCAGGGAGAAAGGAGCCATCTCCCGAACAGTGGCTGCTGGAATAACTGCATTGGAACTTGGCCTGATTGAGATGTTGGGTTGGGTTCATTGAGCAAATGTCTATACTTCTTCCCTGCAGCTCCTAAGAGAGCAAGGGTTGGTCCCAGAGTCACTGGATGCCAGATGGCCCCTGCGGTCTCAGAAGAGTCCACATTGCTTCTTCTCATTCTGCTGCTTCCATTTGGGCATCTGGTAGAACTCATCCTTGGACTTCCCAAAGATATCGTGGAAATCGGCATCAGAGAGGTAGTACTGCAATGGAATGAGAGAGCAAGGAGAGGTCAGTTTTGGCTTTTGCAGAGGCTGGGACACCTCCATCGGCTGCATCCCTCCCTCACTGTGCCAGTGCTGGCCCCTGACTTGAGGCCAACAGCTCCTGTCCTGCTGCGTGTCCTTGTGGTGGGAAGTGGAACCTCCCAGCAACTGTTCCTCATCCTGCTTCTCAAAGCAGCAGGGGAATAAAAGCCTGCCAGCCGAAAGGGATGCTCTCGTTTTGAGGGGTTAGCATGCTCTGGCTGGAATTTGGTCTCCGCTAATCATACTGAGGCCAGAACAATTAATGGTGTGTTGGAGAAGTTCTGCTGGTCAAAGTTTTGGGTGGTTTCTTAGGTAGTGATTCACAGTCAAAACATCTCCCCTTCACTCAGTTCCCCCGGACTGGAGAGACAGAAAGTTTTGTAGATAGCAGGCTCATCAGTGATACTGAGAAAGACCCTGTGGGAAATGGAGGTTGAGTTTTCCCTGGCATTTTGGGTAGAAGAAATCCCTCATGTACAGCCCAGCTGAAATAGAAGCATTAGCACATGGGCATGGTTGTGGAGCAGAGCTGCTGGCCTGGCTGCGGATCAGCTCTCTGGCTGCTGTTGTTGTTGGCCTTTGCCAGGAGATCTGTTGTGGCAAGAAATGGGTCAAACATGGGTGGTAGAGCGCAGAGGGAATCAGCCTCCCTGTGTCCCTCCCATCAGCTTGCTTGGAGTCAGCTACAGATGTTGCCAAAATCCTTGGGTTGATCACAAATCTGAGATGTGGCACACCCCCTGTTCCTAGATCCCTAGATGGGATTTGCTGAAATGCAAGCTTTCTGACCAAAAAAAAAAAAAAAAAAATCCCTTCTGGAAGGAGTTTAAAATGAAAACAAACACCCACAGCCCAAGTAAAATGCAAATCCTGGCTTCATTCTCAGCTGTGCCACCTTGTCTCGCAGGAACTGTGCTTTTCATTCTGTCCCTCCCAGGACAGAGGTTGAGTGGCAGAATTAAACAACTCTAGCAAAGAAAATAGTTTGAAAATTAACTAAAATTTATTTTTCTTCCTCTTCCCCCCCCTAAAAAAAAAGAAATACATAAAGTAGGGTAAAACTACCACAATTTCCTCTCCCATGAAGCTCTCACTTTTTGATGAGAGCTATGTGTCTAGCTGGTACCTCCTTGAGCCTAAAGCAGGACTTTTAATATTCTAAAGTACCGGTGCATTTAGCCAATGACTACATTCCAGGTTAAGCTACAAGGGCGACAAACCCACCTCTTTTTTAGTGGGATCCACGCCTTCTGGAAGTTCATCCACTGTCTTGTTCATCAGCACCTCTCGGGAGTAAATTCCTTCGCCATTGGGCACCAGGGAAGGGCTGCTGTTGTAGTTGCTGCTGTTGCTGTAGCTGTTGCTGTCACTGTGGTTGAAGTGTGATTTATACGCAGGGGAAGCACTTGCTGTACTTGAACCAGCCAAGTTGGTCATGCTGAGGGTTCTCTTGTTCAGGCTGATGTTGTTAAGGTCCTGCTAAACAGAGGAAAATGTGTCTGGCCAAGAAGCTCTTGGCAGAGCAAGTTGGGGGTTATCCCAGGATCTTTCTCTCTGTTGGGGTCTGGGGGACTGTTCCTGGCACAGACTATCTCTTGGTCTGTTGCTTTGGAGAACCAAAGCTGCAAGGAGAAAGTCCGAACTAAAACATCAGTGCAGCACCTCCACCAATGTTACATCTTAATGTTAGGACTGCTAAAAGCACAGCACTGTTGAGAGCCCTTAGAAATAACTGAAAATACTTAACGGTAGTCTCATTTTTCTCAAGATAACACCTGGGGAAGGTGCATGTGGGAGAAGAGAAGGTGAGATTACATATCTGCCATGTCTAAAACTTCTCAATTACCTGTGTACCCCTCCCTGACTTACCATCTCTCCTGGTTCAAAGCCCCTGCCACTTCCTTCCAGCCTTCCTCCTGCCCTGTCCAGAGCAGAACCCATCCCATCTCACAGTCACGTTTGGGGCTGTTGGGACCTTGTGCTCTCTGTGCTTTGTAGGATCCCCACTGGGCTGTGACCTTCTTGACCAGGTTCCCCTTGCCCAGGGTCTCAGGTGCCACAGCACTGCGAACTACTCATACCACGCTTAACTGCACCCTGTTTTAGCTGCACGCACTTTTATTTGTGTAGTTTAGAAAGCAGCCGGCCAGTCTCCTGCTCGCAGACACCTCTGCACAGGACTGGAAAAGGCCGAGGAGATCCGGGTGGATTTATAGGTTATTAATCCTCTCTCCCTCTGCCTTCATAGAGGAGCACAGCTTTGATCCTGACAGTCTGAGGTCCCCATGCCTGCTCTGATCATTACGTCCTCTCCTTCGTGCCAACAGGCTGGAGGACGCGGTGGTGTTTACACCTAGGTGTTTCCCACCCATGTGGTCAAGAAGCAACTCACCACTTTGATCTCGGATATAGCCGACACATCTCCTAAGCTGTTTTTCATCTCCTCGTAGGACTTGCCATCCTAAAGGTAAAGAGAGTTGTGAGAAGTGCGGGCTGGCTTTAATTAGCACATGCTCCTGTTCTCTAACAGATCACATGAATTTTAAAACCCAGTGGTGCCCACTGAGGTGGCAGCTGGTGCCTCCTGCAATCCCCAGCTCCTGGAATCAGGAGACTGTGCCGGAATCAGAACTTTCACTTGAAAACAAACAAACAGATGGACTTCAGCTTTTGCAGTTGTACAGTAACAGGTGAAAACAGGAAATGTAAATACTTCAGAGAGCAGAAGGCAAATAAAAAGAAATTATATTTAGTGCTGGATTTAAATCTTTAAATTTTAAATGAAAATTGCAGTGTGCATGAAAATTTGAGATAAAAATGACATTCCTTTTTTTCCCCCTTGCCTGATTATTTTAGCCAAAGCAACAGATTTTTCAAAGCCTCAGTCCCTGACTTCTTGTAATTTGGTGCCATGTATTACCAGCTACCTCTTATTTCCTAAAAAAAAGAAATAGATTACATATATTGGCAAAGCTGATGACTGTGTTTTCATAAGCAGCCAGGAGATGTCAGTTCTTAACAGAATCATCCAACAAAGTTCCCCAACAAGAACAAACAACATAAACACATGGACTGCAGAGCAAACAGATTTGGATCCAAAACTGAGCAATGAACACACACACCAGATGTTTCTGGGATGTCAACAGTTTGGTTTGCTTGTCTGTAGTTACTGAAGCTGCCTGCAGGGGATATTTTGAGAGGCACGTATTTTATGAGCTGTATCCTTGTTTTTTAGCAGTTCCTCAGAAAAAAAACAAGTTTTGACCTTTGTTCTAACCATCAACATTGTTTTAAGGGTCATTGCTCTGGGAGTTGCTGCGTTATCTGTCCAAATCCAGCTGTCAAGACAGGCTCTCTACCACCACACCAGTTGCAAAGAAAGATGATGCAAACCCAGCTACGGGAAATGAATTTTCTCTGTATGAGTTTTCCTGCAGTGTGAAGTCCCCTGGGGACCTTCACCCTGTTGGCCCGGCTGTCCCATCTGCAGGCTCCAGCATGGGATTTGATGCATGGCCCTTTGGGCAACTAGAAGACGGGATTGCTTGTGAACACCAATGTTCATAGAAAAAAACAGGAGAGAGAAGGGATGATCAGGGATGGCTCTGGGAATACACCAACTGGGAACTGAGCTTTTCCCAACTGACCATCATCTTTTGCATTATTTTTTTTTCCTTAAGCCGTGCACACCAGTGCCATCGGGTGGCAGCAATTTAGGTGCACAGCCATGCTTACACCTGGCTGTTTGCTATGAACCAATACTCTGGCTCTATTAACCACCAAAGCCCCTCCAGGATCATCCTTCATTCCTGATACATTCTGTGCTGCAGCACTGAGCCCCCAGGCTAGCTGGACCAGCTGGAGCATGGTCTGCATGGAGTTAAGTGCATCGCTCCTTCTGTCCAACCACGCTGTGCACAACCAGGGTCGGAGACTGGGTCCTGGCAGTGCATGGTGGGGCCTTTTGCATGGCCGCGCGAACAAATCTCCGCTCCACGTTACACTCCTGAAATGATTTGAAGTCCGTGTGTTTGAAAGAGGAGAGAAAGGACTTCTTTTTTTCCCATGCATCTCCTGGGGCAGGTTTCCTTTTCTATATAGCAAAGAGCTGGTATTTGTAAATCAGCTTTTGAGAAAAAGGGCTTGTATGAAGGGACCAAGGGTGACCTTGCTCAGGAACTCCTGGGCTCTGATGGGCAGTCTGCAAACCTGGAGATGAGACCTGTCTGCTCGCATCTTTCACTTCACCAGAGTTTGCCCTTAAAGCTGGGTCACAATTTTTTCTCTATGGCTGCATTTTGAAAAATGAACATTTTTTCAATTTTCTTTATGACGTGGGATGCTTCTGTTTTCTCTCTGAACTTGATTGTACTGCTAGCAGCCCCAACCCGTTTTTGGCTGAAATCACAAACCTGATTTGGAACTTAATCTTTTTTTAAAGTAAAAATGTGAATATTGTGAATTAAAGTACATTTACTTATATTTGCAAAAGCCTCAGTTTCACCAAACAGGTACTTTTTGCTGCCAAAGGAGTAGAAGCTGCTTAGGTAGCACCAGGAAGCCATGAAGGTCAGGACACGTCATAGCAAGGTTTCGTTCCACACACCACAGAGGATATGTTCACTGACAATAACACCCTTTAAGCACCGCTGAGCACACGTGCACACCACAGGGCTTTTCCAGCAACTTACACTCCATTTGTAGGGGTCCCAAGCATTGAACCATCCTGTGAAGTTGAGGGGTTCATAGCCCTGCTTCACCAGTATTATCGGAGTTGCCAGGTCTCTCCCAGCCGGATGGGTCTTGAGATACTCCTTAGCTGAAGCAATTGCCTCGTTCCTCTCGTATGTGTTGGAGGTTTTACCAACCCAAAGGAAAATCTGCAAGGAGAGAAGGTGTTGAAGATCAGTGAGTAGTTAGGAACTGTGCAGGCATGGCTGTTTGTTCACTCCTGCCAACTGAAGCAGAGATGAGACTGGAATTGTTGTTTCCCAATAGTCCCCTGGGATTTTGATCCCAGATTTCCTCCCAGCCAAGAAGGATTTTGCTTTTGAGATAGACCCAAAGCATTTGTTCAGAAAAGAGCTCTCACATGCTTCAGGGTAGCTAAACTCAGTCCTTGCATGGCCAAAAAATCAGATGGCCTCAGAAAGCAACCCCCTCGGAGACAGTTTCCAATAGTCTAAAGCAAGTCCTCACCATCGGTGCTGGGAAATGAGGGGGAGAGTTTCTGGGTGCCACCTCCTTTTATGAGCCGGCAGACTGGAGCAGATCCAGCTCATCTTGCCTTGGAGCAAGACATGGACCAGGTGTCTTTGTTTCCACCTTTCCGAAACAGGGCTAGCAATACACCTCACTCATGTGATTTGTTTCTGGGTGAGGAGGATTGGAGAAACACCTGTTTGTCTGACCAAGCCTTGAGAAGGTTTTGAAGATTGAAGAGAAGGCATATTGCCCTCGGTTTCATGTTGAATGATGGATTCAAACAAATTAAGCCATAATCTGTTTGAAAATATGTCTGGGCGGATGAGGAGAAGGAATCAGTGCTCACCTCTTCCCACGTGTCTAGCAGCATGACGTCATCTTCATCCAAGTCTTCCTGGCAGAATCCCACCACCTCTGTCATGATGAATCGACCCGTCTGGTTGGAACACTCAAAGAGGCGAGGCTGGTAGTGTGTGACCTGCTCTTGAAACCTTCCTCATGCATGGCAGGGAAAGAAAAAACAAGAAAAATGGAAACCTTTCCCTTGTGGTTCACTGCAAGGCCCTGCCGCTACATGCCATGACTTTGATGGAAGAGGTGGAAACATGGCAACACTCATCTGAGGGCCTGAAAGTCAGGCCATGTCAGATCTCAGGGGATTCTTGGACCATTTTAACACTTTTTAAAGGTTTTTTTTTCCTCCATCCTAAGAGGGCAAAAGGAGAACCCTTCTCTCTTTGTAGAGGTGAGCCTGCTGTCAGGTGAAAAACATCAGATCATTTAGTTGCAATCACATCATGTCACCTTCCCAGAGGGCTGGAGAAATCCAGGTTGTTCAAAAGCAAATTTAGTTTTGTGAATCTTCTGGGCTGCCCATAAAGCTAATAATGGCTGGAAATTGAGCATGTGGTTCATGTAGCCCTTATGACAAGATTTACTGTGCAGAAAGGACAGTTTAGCATAACCTAGTCTTCACGGTTTGGATCTGGAGCTCCTACTTCACAGAAGGCCTGACCAAAAAACTAGGAAAGAGACGTCTCCATGTGGTTTCTGATCAAGCTTTTGGTGATAATCTGACCTGGTGCTCCCTTTGGTGAGGACATGGTATCAAAGCACTTACTTTCCAGCAAAGTTTTGATGCCTTGATTAATGTTGCCTGGCCAAGCCCAGAGGAACAAGCAGGTCACTATTACCTCTTTTCACTGGCGTAAGGTGCTTTGCCTCCCAAGGCTTCCCAGAACTCTGCTGGCTCTTGCCCTTCCAAAATGGTGTGCTTGTCCCGTTTGGAAACGATGTCCGCTACCATTTTTGCCATCTCCCTCTCGTCTCCGCTGCATCCCTGTGTTCAGGACATAAGATTGAGGTGGAGTTAGGGACAGAGTGGCAAAACTTATCTGTGGGGAAAAGCTGGCATCGTCCTACCCTCCTCTGGAGAGTTTTAGACCGGCTTGAATGCTTTTGAGGGTCTCATCTGAGCTGGTCACTCAGAATCACTCATTTCTAGTCCTTGAAGGGGCATTCAGTGCAGCCAATGGCATCTAGAGCAAAACTCATATAAACATAGAATGGTTTGGATTGGAAGGGACCTTTAAAGATAATGTAGTCCAACCTCCTGGCCATGGGAGGGACATCTTTCACTATATCAGGTTGCTCAAAGCCCCATCCAACCTGGCCTTAAACTCTTCCAGTGACGGGGCAACTTCTCTGGGCAAGCCTTCTGCTTCGGTTTGATCTACTGTATCATCCTGAAACACATGACTAAAATGGGATAAATGAATATGCTCTAATCCTGGATAATTTCTTACAGCTGGAGAACCTGGGGTGTTTTATTCAGCTGAAAGCTGTATGAACATCTAAAATGAGGTGAGGTAAACCCCAAGATGGGTTACTTCTTTAGAGAGAGGGCTGTCTTACTGCTGATCCTCCACAGATGGAGCCTTCTCCTGGGTGCAACTTCCTCCATTGAAATTAATGGCCTACCTGCCCAAGGATACACCTCTACAGCTCAGTGGAGGTAGGAGACTCGAGCCACACATCAACAATATTGGGTCCCTTTGGCTGCCTCCCCGGACTCACTGTGGTCTCACCTTCCCACACCATAGGTAGCAGACTTGGCTGGTTGCCAGCAGAAAGACATCGTTGGAGTTGAGTGAGGAGGCCCGGGCCGGCACCTCCGTGGCCTTTGTGTTCATCTCGTCCGTGCCCCTCACCTGGAAGAGGCGGATTGCTGGCTCGGGCGTGCTTTTCTGACCCCGGCTCGTGCCGCCCTGCAAGGAAACAGGGGGAAGGATGTTACTGGGAAGTGAAGAGGACATGCAAATCCAGGGTGCAGTTGATTTGAGGAAGAAGGCTTTTGGGCTCACCACCTTCTGCGCTGCTGGAATGGCAAACCATGGTTCTGCACAGAGCAGTTGAGAAAAATCCAAATACCTTCTGGTTCCAGGTTGGAATAAAACCCACATGGCATTTCTACATTTCTCCCTGATTACTCTGAGTCTTGACCAGCTCCCATGAAGTGCTCAAGTTCAACGTGAGCAGATCTTAGTGGCTGCAAAGCATCTGCCATGCAAACTGGGCAAGGCAGCTGGACTCTGATTTCCAGATGCACTCGGCTTAGCTGAACATCTGCTATTGAAGCTGTATGGTGGGACCAACACTGAGAGTTGAGAGCAATCCCTCTCTTCCCCAAGCCACTTGCAATGTCTCCACCACAGATGTCAGCATCCAAAGCAGCAAATGAAGTGAGTTAGTAGTTAACATGATATAATTCAGGCAGAGACAATTCAAATCATGTAACTGTTTGTAGGATATTTTAGGGGACCCTCTCTGGATAGTATCTGCAATTCACAGGACAATTGTCTTATTGTAACTCTGCAAAATATTTGGGATAGAGTTGGAAAGAACATCATATATTAACGTTGGAGCTCAGAGGTAGACAGCTGAGTCTAGGTCGGTCCAGGGCTGTGTTTACACATATGGTGTTCAGACTACTTGGGAAGTAGTAGAAATGTTCCACCATTTCCATCTGCCAGCCCACGCAGACCTGGCAGGCTCCTTTCCTGAATAACAGCCCATTTTTCTGGACTATTTCTATTGCAACTGCCAAGCCACCACTGGTGCTCGCACCTTCCATCGCCCCAAGCGCACAAAGCCACGTTACCTCGTAAATGATCAGCTTGCCCTTGAAGATCGCCAGGAAGTGTGTGGGCTCCTTGCCCATTGTCACGCGCACCTGCACAGCCTCATCCCCGTGCTTCTTGTCCAGCTCGATGGCATTCAGGGCACAGGCGGTGATTTCATCCACAGAGGCATGGCGACCCTGGGGAGGAGAGAGATGCCACATGCAATGTGATGAGATGAAGGATATAAAGCTCTGCACAATATAACATCGTGCCAATCCCAAGCCCTGCATATAATATTGTGATATGAGAGTTAAAATTTCCAGATGTTTAAATTTCACTTGTATTCCGGTTTTGGAGACTTTAGTATCCCGTTTTCAAAACTCCTCTCTGCATTCCAGGGGAGGAAAATAAACTTCAGAAGGGAAAGCAGAGGTATTCATATACCCACATGACTCCAGGAGCTAAGGCTTTAAGGGACAATCTGAAAGACTGCGTAGTTTGACCTCAGCACTCTAAGTCCCATAATCCTTCACACTTTCTGTCTGACATTGCTGGCTCTCAGTCTGATGCCAGCTTGGGCTCAGTGTCCATGCTAACTACAAAGCACAGCTTGGGATATTTGCAATGGACAACTGATGAGCAGAAGGTATCTATCTGAGTTCTTCTGGATGCTTGGGTTGGGATTTTTGTGTGCAATTGCTTCCTCCAGTTTTAGGCTTCTAGCAGACACAGCACAGTCCCTTCTGCTTTGGTTTGACCTACCTGCCACATGTAGAGGACATAGTGAGGCCTGCCCGATCTCAGGTAGGTGTACAGGACCAGGTAGCAATCACCCCCGTAGAACTGCCCATATGTCTTGGGATTCACTGGCTGCATTTGCAAGTCCTCGATTCTCCACACCTAGTGAAAGAAGTATCTTCGTGAGCAGCAGTGGAGTCAAAGCGAAGACAGAGCACAGATGCTTTGGCAGCAGACCACTGAAGTTCAGGTCTTCAGTTGGAAAGATAACCCTTCCTCTCTCTCCTCGTTGCCAGCCCATGTTCCCCCAGCTTGATTAAGTGCTTGCTGGCAAAGTCAGGTCTCTCCAGTGACTATCACAATACATGTGCCATTAATGGACTTTCAGCAGTTGGTGGCCCTCAAGGAGAAGCAGCCTCCAGGTCCCTCTCAGCCCCACAGCCCCTCTCTCAATCAGCTCCATCTTCCATGGCAGGCCACAAGAATGGGAGGGGGGCCTCTGCTTTGCACAAGTTTGGTTGATATGGACCTAATTGGAAGACTGTGAGAAGGGGATTGACTGTATCAGCCTCATGACACACACACATGACAGGAGAGGAGTCATCTTGGTGACTGCTTTGCTCCACTGGTCATGGGTTGGAGGAGAAATGCCCCAGAGCTACTGTAACTGCTGCATTAGAGTTTGCAAGCACTTTGCTCTGACTGCAGCCGTGCTTCCTTGGGGAGGTTAGGTGGGCACACCTTCACAGCTCCGTACAGCTGCTGTATGTGGAAAGGCAGAGACGTTTGGAAACACGCTGATTATTGCATCCTCTGTCAGCAAAAGGAGCTCTCTCACCTCTATCTCCCCGGAGGCATCATCTACCATTCTCTGCTCAGCAGCTAGCTCTGGTCTGGCATGGAGCTGCATGGTGTCAAACTTCACCTGCTCCACCTTGGCTGCATGCACCAGCAGAATAAAAACAAGAACTCAGTGAATGCACAACAACATACGAACCCTCTGCATCACCCTCACGCACACACACAATCGTTAAACACGCGAGAAAAACCTAGTCCACAGTTGCAAGAAGGCAGTCTTGCCACCAGCAAGCCAATGTTGATTTTGTAATGTGCAAGAGCTTGCACACTCCAGTGTTGATCTGGTGTTACAGGCTGGCAACTGGCCATATAGTACATTCCAGTAATGGTTGGCTGGTAAAAATATTAATTGTCTCCTGACCAAAAATTCGTAATTGTTTTCCAAATCTATACATAATTCCCTCCTTTTAAAATGTCGTTTTCAGAAATAAAATGGCTACATTTCTCCGGCTCATGATAGAAGTGGAGAGAAGAGAGGGGAAGAGCTTTGTGGCTCTCAAGGTCTTTTTCAT